TAATGCACTTTAAACCGAACTTTTCGTGAGCCCACACTAGCTATTTGGTGAAAAAATGAAAATATTTTAGGGAACTTTTTCTTGCAAATTCCAAGTCTATGGCGTTCCTCTCAGTCAAACGATTCCAACGCAACCTCCCTTCCCCTCATTTGCCATCGGACCAATAGATAATGCACTTTTAACCGAACTTTTTGTGAGCCCACAGGCCTATTTGGTGAAAAAATGAAAATATTTTAGAGACCTTTTTCTTGCAAATTCAAACTCTATGACTTTTCTCTCGGTCACACGATTCCAACGCAACCTCCCTTCCCCTCATTGGCCATCGGTGCAATGAGATAATGATTTTTAAACCGAACTTTTCGTGAGCCCACAGGCATTTGGTGAAAAAAAAATTATATAGATACCTTTTTCTTGCAAATTCCAACTCTGTGACTTTCCTCTCGGTCACACGATTCCAACGCAACCTCCCTTCTCCTCATTGGTCATCGGTTCAATGAGATAATGCACTTTTAACCGAACTTTTCGTGAGCCCACATGCCTATTTGGTGAGAAAATGAAAATATTTTAGAGATATTTTTCTTGCAAATTCCAACTATAAGGCGTTCCTCTCGGCCACACGATTCCAACGCAACCTCTCTTGCCCTCATTGGCCATCGGTGCAATGAGATAATGCACTTTAAACCAAACTTTTCGTGAGCCCACAGCGGCTATTTGGTGAAAAAATGAAAATATTTTAGAGAACATTTTCCTGCAAATTCCAAGTCTATGGCTTTCCTCTCGGTCAAACGATTCCAACGCAACCTCCCTTCCCCTCATTTGCCATGGGACCAATGAGATAATGCACTTTTAACGAACTTTTAGTGAGCCCACAGGCCTATTTGGTGAAAAAATGAAATATTTTAGAGGTCTTTTCTTGCAAATTCCAACTCTATTGCGTTCCTCTCGGTCACACGATTCCAACGCAACCTCCCTTCCCCTTATTTGCCATCGGACCAATGAGATAATGCACTTTTAACCGAACTTTTCGTTAGCCCACATGCCAATTTGGTGAAAAAAAATGAAAATATTTTAGTGACCTTTTTCTTGTATATTCCAACTCTATGGCGTTCCTCTCGGTCACACGATTCCAACGCAACCTCCATTCCCCTCATTGGCCATCGGTGCAATGAGATAATGCACTTTAAACCGAACTTTTCGTGAGCCCAAAGGCCTATTTGGTGAAAAAATAAAAATATTTTAGCGACCTTTTTCTTTCAAATTCCAACTCTATGGCGTTCCTCTCGGTCACACGATTCCAACGCAATCTCCCTTCCCCTCATTTGTCATCGGACCAATGAAATAATGCACTTTTCACCGAACTTTTCGTGAGCCCACAGGCCTATTTGGTGAAAAAATGAAAATATTTTAGAGACCTTTTTCTTGCAAATTCGAACTCTATGGCGTTCCTCTTGGTCACACGATTCCAACGCAACCTCCCTTCCCCTCATTTGCCATCGGACCAATGAGATGATGCACTTTTAACCGAACTTTTCGTGAGCCCACAAGCCTATTTGATGAAAAAAAAAATGAAAATATTTTAGATGTCTTTTTCTTGTAAATTCCAACTCTATGGTGTTCCTCTCGGTCACACGATTCCAACGCAACCTCCCTTCCTCTCATTGGCCATCGTTGCAATGAGATAATGCACTTTAAACCGAACTTTTCGTGAGCCCACAGGCCTATTTGGTGAAAAAATGAAAATATTTTAGAGACCTTTTTCTTGCAAATTCCAACACTATGGCGTTCCTCTCGGTCACACGATTCCAACGCAACCTCCCTTCCCCTCATTAGCCATCGGACCAATGAAATAATGCACTTTTAACCGAACTTTTTGTGAGCCCACAGGCCTATTTGGTGAAAAAATAAAAATATTTTAGAGACCTTTTTCTTGCAAATTCTAACTCTATGGCGTTCCTCTCGGTCACACGATTCCAACGCAACCTCCCTTCCCCTCATTTGCCATTGGACCAATGAGATAATGCACTTTTAACCTAACTTTTCGTGAGCCCACAGGCCTATTTGGTGAAAAAGTGGAAATATTTTATAGACCTTTTTCTTGAAAATTCCAACTCTATGGCGTTCAGGGTTTAGGGTTTAGCGTTTAGGTGTTCTGTGTTCTGTGTTTAGTGTTCAGTGTTCAGGGTTCAGTGTTCAGTGTTCGTGTTCAGTGTTCGAACCGATTCAACTGGATCCAGGTTCCTCATCGCACGCCGCAAATTCAGTTGCTCTTCAACTCAGACTCGATCAAATCAGGAACAACTTGGTTAAAAATCGGAGAGATCACTCCGTTTGACCAACTGACCGGGCTCCAAACTAACTCCCAGCTTTGTTGTTGTCTCCTAGCAGCCCCTCCCACTTTGCACAAACCCTCCTAAACTTATAACGACATGCTAATATTTGTTGTGGCGAAGTGGAAGTTTGATTTGTAGTGTGGCTCGAGAAGGACGAGATATAATGTGGGTATGTGCAGTCAACGATGGGGCAAATAAGTACAGATAAATCCAGATATATGTAATATTAAAATTTGTATCAAAATACATTAATCTTATCGAATATCGACAATAAACTATATGAAACAACCGAATTCACACGTGAATAAATGATTTTAGGTGCATGAATCAACCATACAAACGATTATGTGAAGCAAACGATTAACATAAAAGAGATTACATAACATAAGATTAATTCGGTACAATTCCTAGTTCAATATGATTTTGCAACAACATTATAGACCTTATTCATTACAAAATAAAGGGTGGCACTCAAGTCCTTATGAATTTGCTTCAATTACACGGTTATAAAATTAGTGGTACTTATAGGTCACCCCAACCCATGAATGAAATGTCATATACTTCTTAAAGAAAAAATAGTTTGAAAAAAAAAACATATTCTATTTTTATATCGACTACATATAAAATAAGATGTGGTTGATCCTCGTGACTCATAGTCGGCTTAAGATAGAGTCAGTAACCAATGATTACTCACCTATGAGTAACTAAATCTGGACCTTTAGATTTAAGTGGGTCCAGAAAATTCAGATCTAAAAGTTGTCAATTAAAGATATTTTATTTTCCATAGTTTTCTTAATCGGCTCTTATCTTCTTCGTTCTAACTCGAATTTCAATTTTATTTTATTTGTGCACATATTGAACGAGTTCGTTGTGCTCTACAAAATGAGATCAATTTTCAATATATTTCGAGAACTTTTTTTTACCAACTACATGCCATATGGTAACTTCTTCGTTTTTAAGTTGTTTTTTAAAACGTTTGCTCAGAAGGAACGAGTTCATCATGATCTATTGGATCTATAAATTTCTGGGTGAAAAAAATACTGGATAAAAAATTACCATACTTTACCACTATGGTATGTGGGTGGTAACTTGTGGTAAACAATGATGAAAGTCGTAAATGACAGTTAGTATACTCTTACTATCATGTATTCAACCTTCTTACCATATTGGTATGTTCATACCATCATGGTACGCTTTCTTACCATTTGGTATTATACTCCTACTATCATGTATTCAACCTTCTTACCATATTGGTATGTTCATACCATCATGGTACGCTTTCTTATCATATGGTATTAAATAGGAGCATATCATATGGTAACGACTGGAAAAAATTATTCAATTTTTTTTGTACTAAAAATATATCAAAGTAGATATCATTTTAAAGAGCACATTTATTCTGATTTATCTGTGCAAAAAAAAAATTCTACTTAAAATGAGAGAGAAATCGTCCGTTAAAGATTAAAAGGAAAAATAAAAGACTTTACAGGAGAGAGAGAATATTGATGTCATGCTGATGTGGACAGGTTACTCATGGTTACTGACTATTGAATTACTGACCTGATATGTTCCCCTCATAGCCTCATACCCCTCCATTGCTAAATAGTTAATACCGGGCTGGTTACATTTGGGACCAACATATAGAACGTTCGAGGAGGAGATTATGATCCTTTTTCTAAAAATATTCAACTTCTGATAACACGATCAGCATAATTAATTGATTAATAATCTCAATTTTCAGGTCCCTTTCCTTTCTTCAACGCTAACAAGAACTCCGCACTTAACTGTAGATATCTAAACGAGCTAATGATAAGATAGTTTAACGATGTCGTTATGAGTATGTCATTTCGGAATGCGTGAGGTTCCAAGTTTGATGCATCTCGAAGCCCCGTGAGATGTTTCTGAAAGCGTCTGACAACTAGGGACGAAACTTTGTTGGCGTATAAATTAAAACATGTGATCTTCAGATTTGGTCACATTCCTCTATCAAAAAATGTAGTATGTGCGTGGGACGCAACCGCACAACACATTTTCTCTCGCAACACCAACTATATATTTATTCAAATGTCGATAATCTTTGTATATAAGTTCTTGTCGGAAAAGACACAGGTCACAATGTTCAAGCCAAGACAGTATTGCATATAGGGCTGGCAGAACGGTTTCCGGTTAGCAGTTAACCGGTCGGTTACGATCGAACCGACCGGTTTTCGGCTAACCGAAAACCGCTCTGTATTGGCATCGGTCGGTTGCCGGGAGAGAGGGGGAGAGGCTCGGCTAGCCGATTAACCGCGGTCAGTAACCGGCGGTTAACCGGCTAACCGACCACCGCCCCTTGAGTCAAAATGACCCCGCAGCCCTACCCAAAACTAGGGGTGAAAGCTTGTCCCGGAAGACCCACTGACCCGTCCCGACCCGTCCCGTCCCTAAGGGTCGGGACGGGTCAGTTTGTCTACAGGGACAGATTAGGGACGAGTCATTTGTTGACCCTGTAAGGGTCGGGACGGGTCGGGACAACTTAGGGACGGGTCACGTTTTGACCCTGTGACCCTTAGCAACAACAAATATCTCATACTTCATTAGACCTTTTTGTAAAGTTTTAAAAGTTTAGGTACTAATTTGTAAAAATAAAAAAATTTGGGTACCAAAACGTAATTTTACCATCAAAATTTATGGACTTATTTGTAAAAAAAATAATATTTAGGTACTAAATTGTAAGAAAAAATAATTTTGGGTACCAAAACGTAATTTGTAAAAAAGTAGTGTGTTGATTAGGGTCGACCCACTGACCCGGCCCGTCCCGTCCCGTCCCAACCCTTGAGGGTCAGACAGGGTCAAGAAGGAGATAGGGACGGGACGGGACGGTTATACATCTTGACCCTTCAGGGACGGGTCAGACAGGGACAGAGACGGGACAGGGACTGGACAGGCAAATTTTCAGCCCTACCAAAACGACCCCTTCCCCCAGCCCCAAAACGACCCCTCTCCTCTCCAACCCTAATCGCCACAACCTCCTGCAACCTCATCTCCACTTCTTCTTCTTCTTCCTCCTCACAAAGAACTCCCCATCCCTTCAACCTCATCTCGATCTCCTCTCTGCTCCCACCCACCTTCCATTCTCTTCTCATCTTCACAACTTCATCACTTCCATCAATATACCAATTTCACCCGATTCTCCAAGTGTAATCCCAAACCCAATCCAATCTTCATGACCACATACCCTAAACAACCACGCATCCCGTTTCACCAGAAATCCCACGAAATCGAAAACCCCTTCTCCCCACTATAAAACAAACAAACCAACCCACCCAAATTTACAAACACACAATCCAATTCCCCACAGAAAAAAAAGAAAAAAGATGGCCAAAACCGGCGTCGTTCTGGGGGCGGCTCTGCTTCTGCTGGCAATTACGACGGCAGAACATGCGGCGTCGACGTCCAAGGCGTGGCGGAGGAATGCAAGGACTACGTGAAGAAAGGGTCGAAGCAGCGGGACCCGTCGCCTCTTGTCGTCGGTCTGAGTCGCCGCGTCCGCCGCCAGCCTCCAGCTCGACTGGGAGAACGGCTCCGCTTTATACACCTTGTACTCGCTCAGATAGATGGAGCTCCAGGACTGGTTCCTCCGCCGCGTGACCAGCGGGCGAGCATCCAGATCGTCGCTTGACGGCGGGGACGATGAAGATGACTTGTGGCTCTGAATCTCGGCCTGTAACTTGACGGATCTGAAGGAAGCCGTGGAGTCGACGAGCGATTTCTGCGACGGCGGTTCGAGAAGTCTCCCGCCGTGAGTAGTCTCCCACCATCGCGAGTCGTCTCATGCAGCGGTTTTCTTCCGGTGGAGGAAGGGGAGAGAGGAGAAGATAAGGTTCTGGTGGAGGAAATGGTGGGGAAGGAAGGAGAGAGAAGAGAAGGGTCTGGTGGAGGGGAGAGAGGAGAAGATAAGGTTTGAGATTGAGTGGTGCAGATTTTTTCTTCTTTTTTTTTTTTTTGGAAAATGTAATTTTTTCGGTTGGCCGGCTAACCGAGCCCAAAACCGGAATCGCTCGGTCGATTGGCCGGCTAACCGTGCTCTTTCTTCGGTCGGTGGTTGGCAGCTTAAGGGGGGGTCTCGGTTTAACCGATAACCGGGTCTTTGGTTTTCAGTTAAACCGAAACCGACCGGTTGCCACCCCTAATTGCATATCTCAAGCACCTCTTTCTTTCCCCTCCATGGAGAGGATCAGAAACCCAGCAGAAACACCAAGTCGGCCAACTCCGGGCACCGTTATTGAGTAGACTAATACAAACCCTTTTGTCAATGCTACAGAAAACAACTTTTTGAGAGAGAGAAAGAAACGGTAATGGAGTCTAGAGAAACCTCGAGCATTAAAAATCAGAGACCGTACTGATCAGTAACCATGCACTCCATCAGAGGCAGGTTCAAGGCTCGAACACCATGTTCTCTGCTTCTCGTTTCACGTCTTCGAAGAGCACTGATGAGAGGTAACGCTCGCCAAAACTTGGGAACACCACCTGTTCAAAACAACCACCAATGTTGGTGCTAGTTAGTTTTTAAAACAAGCGGCTCAAATGGAAGCCTATGGTAGAGAAATTACAGAATTAATGATCGAGAAGTAGGCCAATAGATGTCAAAGGTCTAGTGGAAATAATTGTACTTACAACTATGAGCTTTCCAGCATTCTCGGGCCTCTTCGCGATCTTGATTGCAGCAGCTGCGGCTGCACCGGATGATATTCCTACCTGCAATACAGGCAATTCAATTGAACACATTTCAGTGACGATGGGAGAAAGTTGGTTATGATAACATAACACGAAAAATTGATTCCAAACTTACCATCAATCCTTCCCTCAAAGCTAGAAGTTTAGCTGTCTCAATAGCTTCTTCACTCGATACCTACAAACACAAAAATTGACAGGTCGGTGCCAATAGCCTAAAACAGGAAAGAAGGGATATTGTGGTCAAATATATTCAAGTTAACAACTCGAGTTGTTGGGAGAGAGTCAAGAATAAATCTTATATCACTTCTTACAATGCCTCATTAAACAAAAATCAACTCAGGAATTTGAATTTTATGCAATCTCATCATGCACACCATTAATATTGTTGATTGAACACAAAATCTTTGGTCATCAAAGACTTTGTTACCATGTCAAGAAACAAACATAGTTCAAACTGCGAAAGGTCCAAGATCAAATGCTATTTCATATATGTAAGAATCAAGGTTTGAAAACTCACTTGAACAACTTCATCAAGCAAATTGACATCGAGGACTCCAGGGATGAAGCCTGCACCAATGCCCTGGATTTTATGTGGACCTTAGGAGTCCAAAAGCAAAAAAGTTGAGTAAGTTAGCAAAGAACAGGGAAAAATAGCAGACAAGAGTCATAAGCCAATGCAATATTCGGCATTATTAGTTTCATAGGGTTGGCTCCTTTATACTTACTGTTAAAATAGGGCGTGTAGTATAATTTCATATTCCTAGAATAAAAACGGAAGATACATAGAGATCAAGTGATGCGTATATTCCACACATGGTTTACCGATGGGCTAAGCTAATCTCATTTTCATTGTTCAATTATGCTTATGTTTCATTGTTCAAGTTGTTTTCCTTGTTCGATATGGACGGTTGCAAGAACTTTATCAATTGTTGATTATCAGTTGGGAGTAAAGTGTGAAGAATTAAAACCCTAAATTAGTTGATTTTCTTTTGTAGATTTCGCAATTCCTCCAATGCAACACAAGACTCACCAGGCTTTCCTCCAGACAACACTGCACTTTCAACTGGTTCTACACCATAGAGCTGAAACAATGTTGAAAACAAACATTAAGTCTAAAAACTAATAACAATAGAATTATAATCCCATTCTTGTCCGGATGATAGAAAGAACCGGTACCTTTATATTAGGGTTTTGCTCCTTAAGATACTTCCCTACACCAGTTACTGTTCCTCCAGTTCCTATCCCAGACACAAAGGCGTCAACTTTGCCAGCAGAGCCTTTCCAGATTTCTGGTCCTGTGGTCTCATAGTGAACCTGGACATGAAAACAAGTGATTGTCATTGTGCAAATTCGCTGGCTTAGGGAAGCCAAGAAGAACTGAGAAGCAAAAGTCTGACGAACATATTACCTTTGGGTTGGCAGGATTCTCAAATTGCTGCAGAATATAAGAATTAGGTGTCTTTGCCAAGATCTCTTCTGCCTTCTGAACAGCACCTTTCATGCCTCTTGCCGGATCTGTAAGAACAAGCTCTGCTCCAAAAGCTCTGAGAACCATTCTTCTCTCCAAACTCATCGAAGAAGGCATTGTAATTATAAGTCTATAGCCCTTGGCTGCTGCCATGAATGCCAGCCCTATCCCGGTGTTTCCACTTGTTGGCTCAATAAGGACACTCTTCAACAGACAAGTACAAAAAGAAATTCATGTCAGAATTAGATTCCCCCTCACACAAATATAACATTGCACATACTTTATTTCATGCATTCACAAGGAACAGTTCGGATCAAATATTCTTCTAGCATACTATACCAAACGAGCCAAGAGAAAGAATTGAATTGCTAACCTCGCCAGGCTTGATAAGACCCTTCTCCTCCGCATCAGCTATCATACTATATCCAATCCTACAACCAAAAAAAAAAACAAGTTTTAAGGATATTTTCAACTAAACAACAAGAGCAGTTAGAAAATCCGTTGCTTCTTTCATGAAGTAGAAGGAAGAAACCAAACATCAAATCGGAGAAGTCAATATGAACAAGCTATAAAGCAAATCAGAAGTCAATTCTTTGGACAGAATTTCCAGCATTTGATATACTAATTCACAAGCAACTAACAATGATAGTCATGATCAGAACATATACCTATCCTTGACGCTTGAGCAGGGTTCCATCATCTCTAACTTGGCAGCAACACGAGCAACGCAGCCATCCACAACATTGGTGAGATATACCATTGGTGTTTTACCAATCAACTATTCAATTTCAAAGGAGGGAGAAGGATCAGCAATGCATTCACATCTTGACAATATAATTCCTAATTGGAATGTGAATGGAAACAAGGTATATAGCTAGCTAACCTCAGTGACATCCTTGGCAATTCCAATCTTATCCTCTGCCATCCCTGATGAAATATTGCTGCACACAAACTGTAAGAACAAAACAGGCCGCTAGAAGTATCAGATATCACATTAAACAAACAATAAGTCAAAGACCATGGCGAACAATCGAAGCTACAGATCTGAAGGTTGTCAACCTAAATACTCCAAGTCAAACGCACTAAAAATCAAGCCGAAAGAAAGAAAATTGAAGGGGAAAAAAACAAATTCGCGAGAACCCATTACAGATGACTGACAATACCATCCCAAACTGTAACAAACAGATGATCCAACATCGGCGCCGACGAACAAGTAAGTACTCGCAGAGAAATTATTTTACCTAGAGCATATTCTGAATGAAAAGGTCCCGATTCAAGGAGGAGACGTCTCGCTTCGACAGTTCTGGGCGGAGGACGGTGGAGAGTTTTCTCAGCAACGGCCAACGGCGACGCTCGCACTTGATTAATTGACCGGGAAGGGCTATGGCTAATTGGCTAGCTCATATAAATCCCAAAAATTTGATGATAAAATTACGTTTTGATACCCAAAATTTTTAATTTTTACAATTTAGTAACTAAACTTTTAGAATTTTACAAATAGGTCTAACGTGTTTATATGATGCTATTAGGGATGGCAATGGGTCGGGTTGGGTCAGGTTTTGCCAAACCCAAACCCAAACCCATGGATAAAACACCATTTAGAAAATTCAAGCAAATCACAAATTAACTATACAAATTGTTCAACACCAATCTAGAAAACTCATGAAAATTGAAGCAAATCACAAATTATCCATAAATAACATGTTTAATTGAAAGCTTCTTTCTTTCAATTAAGTTTCTTTAGTCTCCACTTCATAACATCAACTTCATTCTACACAATTAAAAAGAAAAAATTAGACATGTCTCCACAAACATAAATAAGAATAGTTGTTTAGAATATTAAATATACCGAAAAAATTAATTATATGAGTGGGCGGGTACCCACGGGCCAGGTTTACCCAAACCCAACCCAACCCGGTGAATAGTGAACGGGTTTAAACCCAAACCCGGCCCAAAACCCGTCAACACGGATTTTACCCGCGTTGACCGGGTTGGGTCGGGTGGGTACCCGTGGGTTCGGGTTTTGTTGCCATCCCTAGATGCTAAGGGTCATAGGATAAAAAGTGACCCGACCCTAAATTGATTCTGTAGACAAACTGTCAGTGAATTTTAAGAGTCAAACTTACACCCTGCTGTACGTAAATATATGACCTAATCAAGAGACAACCAGCCACACATCCTGGCCGCCGACGAGAGCACGGGCACCATCGGAAAGCGCCTAGCCCTCGGGGAGCTCCTCTTCACGTCTCACGGATCCCTCCTATACCTCTCCGGCGTCATTTTCTTCGAGGAAACCCTCTACCAGAAAATCACATCGTCGAGTTAGCCGGAACAAACGGGGAGCACCACTACCCAAGAGTTTGACTTGGTGGGGGCACACTGCCAGCAGGCAGCAGTATTACAAGGTCGCGCCGCCGTTCGCCGTGTCGGGCCGTGCTCAATATTGGGCCCATTGAAACTTCGGTGCTTTCGATCCAGCAGAATGCTCAGGGCCTGGCCCGTTATGCTATAATTTGTCAGGAGAATGAGCTGGTGTTATTTTTTTTTTTTTTTTGCCATAGATATTGTAACATCCCGAACCTTTCCCCGACAAGATACTGTCCGCTTTGGGCCCCTACACCCGCACGGATTTTGACTTGGGGTGCAATTCAAGGTGACTTCCCATAAGGTCACCCATCCTTGTTGTGCTCCACACTGAGCACGTTTAACTTCGGAGTTCCCCAAAACGCGTCTTGTCAGTTAAGGCCGGTTTCCTACTTATGAACCATGGATCTCTCCCGTGCTTTGTCGATGTGGGATTTGCCTAAGGTGTTACATACACCCCCCCCCCCCCTTGGGACTCAACGTCCTCGTTGAGGTTTGCCCCACCATCGTTCAAGAGGGACGCGGAGAGGCTCTGATACCACTTGTAACATCCCGAACCTTTTCCCGACAAGATACTGTCCGCTTTGGGCCCCTACACCCGCACGGATTTTGACTTGGGGTGCAATTCAAGGTGACTTCCCATAAGGTCACCCATCCTTGTTGTGCTCCACACTGAGCACGTTTAACTTCGGAGTTCTCACAAGAACTCCTCCATTACACCCCAAAACGCGTCTTGTCAGTTAAGGCCGGTTTCCTACTTATGAACCATGGATCTCTCCCGTGCTTTGTCGATGTGGGATTTGCCTAAGGTGTTACAGATATTTTAAAAAACGGAAACAACATATATATTGTAAAAAAATAAAACATTTTCAGGCTTAAATGAAACAGCTGGTGGAGACCGAGATATTAACCGATGGTTCCCACCATATCAAGAGATGCGCCGCCATGACGAATATGGTGCTGGCGGTGGAGTACAAGGTAGGGACTAGGGTGGACAGTCGGTTTGTCAAACCCGAATCAGACTGAACCACATACAACCCGAATGAAAATTGAATTGTCTTTATGTTCGGCTTGAAAATCTGTTGTTGGAATTGCTATGGGTGGTCATCGTTTCAGAATGTACCAAATTAAAAAACTGAAATTCGAACTAACAAGCCGAAATACATCCCAGCCCAGCTTGTTAGCCTCCCCACGACAAAAATTCTATCTTACGAGCCCACTTTTCCTCTAATCCAAACAACACCATATCATGTCCAGCTCGTACTTTTTAGCTCATGTCGTCCCCCTAAGGTCCTAACCCTAGCTTCCCTTCTCCTCAACCGTTTCATAGTCGCGTCTTTGAGCGAGCCGTTGAGCTTCATTAATGACCGGAATTAGTTATAATTATTGTCCCTGAGCACTTGCTACTTGCTAGCAAATTCTAGCTTGTTAATTCACAAGTACAATCTCGAAATCTCCTCCAGATGTTGCTCTGCCTTGATATTTCCAATGTCAACAATGTCTCCCTTTGCTCAATTAATCTTTATGAATGTCCAATTTGGAAAGGCCATTCCAAAACTAAAAGGTAACTGGGACTCGAGGTTATTTCATGTTAAACATGCTAACTACAACCCCTACAAAAAAACAAATTTGATTTGAGGCCTATCACTTGTCCTGCTATGTCTCATGCCACCAGTTTGCTACTCTGCCTTGTTCTTCTGAAGCGAAAAGCCAGACTCTCCCTTCACATCCTTGCAGTATCCTTTCTGATTTCGTTTCCCTCAATATTGTGGTGATCTTCAACGGCAAACCTTTTATCCACACCTCCTGACAACTTGAGTGAAGGAGCACTCCCCTCACCAGGCAGCATTAGGAGTGTTTCCAAGCAAGCTTTTGTACACATTCAGAGCTTGGGTGATCATGCTGGCGGGATTAGCAGTCGATGAAGGAAGCAACACTGGACATAGATATGAAAATTATTGATAAAAATGTATACACATGAAATCGATCCGTTTGTGCAGGCTGGCGGACCTGGACATATGGATGAACCAGATCTAGGGGGCGTTGCACAGCTGGCTGGGAGACCTACTGGTGCTGTCGACCCTAAATCTGGACAGCAACTCGATCGGCGATCAGATCCCGGCGAAGCTGCTGGGTAGCAGGGGGTTGGGGATAATGAACCTGAGCAGGAATGCGCTGGAAGGGGAGATACCCGATGCTGTTGGGCCCGAGAGCTATTTCATGGCGCTGGACCTTTCCTACAACAACTTGAAGGGGAAGCTTCCCTGTCGCTGTCGGCAGCGGCGTACGTGGGGCACTTGGACGTCAGCCATAACCACCTGTGCGGGTCGATTCCCGTCGGGGAGCCATTTGAAAAGTTCGACCCGTCGTCGTTCGGGTTCAATGATCGCCTTTGCGGGAACCCACTCAGCACTTGTTAATTGATCATATTCATCACGGGAAAGAAGCCTAATGGGTGAAAACTGAAAAACTAAAACTATATATGATCGATGTATGTAGTAAAATGGTTAAATTTTTTTCAAGCCTACGCTGTTACCGAGTTTCTGGGATTATTTACTTATTCCTACTTAACGGCGCTTTTTGAGAAGAAATGAGAAATAGGGTTTTGGGAAGGGATCTCAAAGTGAGAGAGCCTTCGTTTTCTCCATTTCATATATACCCAGCAAAAGCTGTTTACAAAAGTAAAGCAGAGTTTAACGGCTAATCTACAGTGTAAACAGAAAAACAAACAATCAATTTAGCCAATCAAAACTATACACGTGTTGGCCTTAAACCTATTTACTCTGGACCAAGTGGAACGGTGCGTTCTGGACCCTAAGACCAAGTCTTCAACAACGACTTCGAATAGGTGGAGAACGACGACGTTCCAGCGTTGATCTTCATCAGTTTGCAGCAGCTCTGTTGCATTTCTGGAGAACTGAAGAACAGCTGCTGCTATCGATTGTCTGAGAATGACCTGTTCTCCATTACGCCCCCTCAAGCTGGCGAGTGTCATCTGATACTCCCAGCTTGCGCAACAACATTTTGAACCTGTCAATTCCCAGACTCTTGGTAAACAAGTCTGCAAGTTGATGATCAGTAGACAAATGATGTAAACTAATCAAACCACTTAACAGACGTTCTCTTATGACATGGCAATCAACTTCTATATGCTTGGTTCTCTCGTGAAAAACTGGATTTCGTGCTATGTGAATAGCAGATTGATTATCACAGAAAACCAAGGCAGAATGAGAATGATTCACTCCAAAATCACCAAGTAATCTCACCAACCACTGAAGCTCACAACTCAACTGTGACATGGCCCTATATTCAGCCTCTGAGGATGACCTCGACACTGTGCTTTGTTTCTTACTCCTCCAACTAATGAGTCCTTTGCCAAGGAAAGTGCAAAAACCAGTAATTGACCTTCTGGTATCTGGACAAGTGGCCCAATCTGAGTCACTATATCCAGTAAGCTGCATACTAGAATCATGTGGATAAAACAGTCCCTGCCCTGGAACATTTCTAAGATAACGCAGAACCCTTTGCAAAGCTTTGAAGTGCACTGTGGTTGGTGAATCCTGATACTGACATAGCTGTTGAACAGCATATGTAATGTCTGGCCTAGTTGTATTCAAATACTGCAACTGGCCAAGCCAATGCTTGAATTTGCTCACATCATGAAAAGACTCTCCATCTTGAGCTGATAAAACTTGTTTAACACTGGAAGGAGTTTTGGCAGGCTTACATTCATCAAAACCTGTGTCCCTTAACAGCTCAAGACAATATTTTCTCTGGCTAATGTGTATTCCTCCATCAACCCTGTTCACTTCAAGTCCAAGAAAATATTGCAGCTGACCCAAGTCTTTCATTTTAAATTCTGACTTCAACATTTCCTTAACTGCCTCTACTGCCTCCAGGCTAACACTACCAATGACAATGTCGTCCACATACACAATTAAAACCACTAAAGAACCTTTCACAGGGGAAAGGAAGATAGAACAATCTGCACTAGATTGTTTGAAACCATGTGAAAGCAAAGTTTCAGTTAACTTTGCATACCACATTCTGCTGGCTTGTTTCAAGCCATAAAGTGATTTCCTTAAACGACATACCTTACCCTTGTACTGACCCTGTTCCTTCAAACCAGGTGGAACCTCCATGTACACCTCTTCATCCAGATCACCATTAAGAAAAGCATTGTTTACATCCATCTGATGTAAGTACCAATTTTGAGCAGAAGCTACTGCTAACAGCAGTTTTACTGAATTCAACTTTGCAACTGGGCTAAAAGTATCACAATAATCAATCCCATATATTTGATTATAACCCTTGGCAACTAGTCTTGCCTTGAAACGTTCAACACTACCATCTGGGTTATATTTGATCTTAAATACCCACTTGTTACCAATAGCCTTCTTCCCCTCTGGCAAGTCTGTGATCTCCCAAGTCCCATTATCATATAAAGCTTTAAGTTCATCCCTCATGGCTGCTTGCCAACGAGGATCAAGAATGGCTTCTGCATAAGAAGCTGGCTCAACAGTGGCCATGATGGACAGAGCAAAGTGTTGCTGTTCAGGTGACAGTAGGGGAGAGCAACAGACTTGAGCCATACCCACATAATAGTCATTGTATTTAGATGGAAATACAATTTGCCTTGTAGACTTTCTAGGGGGAACTACTGGTGTGGGAGATGATGAAGAGGAAGGAAGGAAAGAAATAGGAGGAGAAGAGGTGGATTTTATGGAGGAGTAGGATGGTGAGGATGTGGAAGTAGCAGGAGTATTTGGAGCTGCTGGAGAAGCAGCAGGTGGGGAAAAGGGTTGTGCAGCAGATGGAGGAGAAAACTCTGCTGCAGGTGAAGCTTCAAAGGAAGGATGACCTGAACAAAGATCATCCTGAGTGGAAAAAGACCCAGGATAAGAGGGGAGATGAGATGACTCACCCTCTGGAGTAGTACTGTCTTCCTGCTCATTGGATTTAAAGGGGAAGACAGTCTCATAAAACACCACATCACGGTTGATAAAAACCTTGCCTGTGGCAATATCTAACAGTTTAAAACCTTTAACACCAAAGGGAATACCCAGAAAAACACATTTTCTGGCTCTAGGGTCAAATTTATGCTTATGACCTTCAACTATTGTGGCATAAGCCAGACAACCAAAGACCCTTAGTGACATGTAGTCAGGTGGAACTTGATGTAAAAGTTCAAAGGGGGTTCTATGGCCTAGCACAGGTGTTGGAGTTCTGTTTATGAGGTAGGCAGCATGCAAAACAAAATCTTCCCAGTAGAGTAAGGGAAGGCCAGACTGAAACTTGAGAGACCTGGCTACATTTAGAAGGTGTTGGTGTTTTCTTTCCACTCTACCATTTTGTTGAGCAGTATAGACACAGCTCATTTCATGAACTATGCCCTTTGAACTATAAAATTCTCCCATATGGAATTCTTGCCCCTGATCAGATCGAATGGTTTTGACCTGTTTGGAAAATTGAGTCTCTACCATTTGACAGAAGGATTGTAAAAGACTTCTGGTTTCAGATTTGGATTTCATGAGGAATACCCAAACTGCTCTACTGTGGTCATCAACAATGGTCAAGAAATACTGAAAACCACTTCTGGAAATTACATTCAATGGACCCCAAATATCCACATGTAATAGATCAAAAGGTTCTGAGCTAACAGAATTACTAAGAGGAAAGGGCAACCTCTTCTGTTTAGCAAAATGACACACCTCACAGTGTTTAGATTGAGGCAAAACAACTTCATTACATTGATTCTTAACTTCTCTTAATCTAGACAAGGAAGGATGTCCTAATCTAGCATGCCAAATGTTGAAATCTGGACTGGGAAATTTGGTGACTCCTGCTGCAAAAGGCTGAGCAACTCTACTGGAAATAAACTCTTGACTCTTTGACTGGGAAAACAGATACAATCCTCTATCCACTTGGGCTAAACCAATCCTCCTCCGAGTAATAAGGTCCTGGATAACACAAAAATTTGATTTAAAAACCAATGAGACTGGATGATTTTTGGTTAACTTACTTACAGAAACCAAATTGTAAGTAAAAGCTGGAACAAATAAGACTTGAGTGAGGAATAATCCACAAGGCAATGAGACTATCCCTATGTGAGTGGCTTTAACCTGTTGCTTGTTAGGGAGATTCACAAAAATGTTGTCAACTGGTTTACTTTTGATAAAGAAACCAAAGCTACAGACAATATGATCTGTAGCACCTGTGTCCAGTACCCACTCAGATGTATGTAATGAACCAATGACATTAGAATGTGATTGGTTACCTGCTGAACTTGAACTTGCAGTAAAATGAGCAGGAGTTCTGACCACAGAATTAGCTGAAGCTTGATGAGTGTGTGACTGGCCAATGATCCTTCCTTGTGCAGCAGAAGGTAAATGTGGTGAACTTGGAGGTGATGGTGAAGGTGAGGGAGACCCTGTAAGCATGATTTTCAGTTTCTCAAACTGGTCTGGAGTCAGGAGATTATGAAGATTGACTTCACTGCCAGCTGAGGAAGACCCCCCAGACTCAGACAAACCACCTTCACAGGCACCAGCAAAAGGTTGTTCACCTTCTTGTTTCCTTTTGTTCTTAAGTCTGTAACAATCAGCAATAATGTGTCCTTCCTTTTTGCAATACCTACACCATTTCTTTCCCTCAGGTGTGTAGTCCCTAGGATTTTTACCAGATGGTGGAGCTCTGCCCTGATGTTGACCAGTGGCTGACAAGGCCACTGAATCAACTCTGCCTTTTGTTGAGCTCACACCCTTCATCTGTCTCTCTAACTGCACCATCTGTTTGAAAACAGACTCGATATTTGGCAATTGTGCATTCATTAGGACTTGAGTTCTGGCAGACTGAAAAGTATCATTCAAACCTTGCATGAACTTGATAATGAAATCATGTTCCTCATACTTCTGGATGGTGAAAAACGGACTGTTGGGGCATGAACAACAAGAAACAGGCCTGTACATTTTATATTCTTGCCATTTCGTGGTCAGGGCTGTATAGTATTGTGTAACTGAAAGATCACCCTGCACACACTTAGCAATCTGCTCCTTCAATTCATACACCCTCATATTATCCGCTTGACTAAACCGATCCTTTAAACTATCCCAGACATCTTTAGCTACCTTGAAAGCTACTACACTGTTAGCTATATCCTCAGAGAGGGAGTTGTAGATCCAGCTACGAACAGTTCCATCACATCTAAGCCACGACTGGTAAATTGGATCTCGAACAGAAGGCACAGGAATCATACCATTGACGAATTGGAGCTTGTTCCTGGTGCTAAGAGCAACTTCCATCACTTGGCTCCACAGATTGTAGTTCTGATCAGTCAATTTCATGGATATGATCGTTGTCAAACCACCATCATGTGAAGGCAAGTAGTATGGATTCAAATATGGGTCTTCATAATGCCCAACGGGTTGACCTGTGAACCCTTGTAATGGATGGGCGACGCCAATGGGTTGAGCTGGGAAACCTTGCATCTGCTGTGCAGATCCAGTAGGTGCCGACGCAGAGGGCTGCGAAGGGGTTTGATTTGGGTTTTGAGTCTCATCGTGGGCTGACGCCAGGGACTCTGTGTCATCTGTAACATGACCATCGATTCCTTGTCCTGGCCCTGACATGGTGAGAAGAATTCACCACAAACGGCTAGGGTTTGATCGGAGAGAGACGATGAGATCTACAGATACCTGTAACCAGGCTCTGATACCATGAGAAGAAATGAGAAATAGGGTTTTGGGGAAGGGATCTCAAAGTGAGAGAGCCTTCGTTTTCTCCATTTCATATATACCCAGCAAAAGCTGTTTACAAAAGTAAAGCAGAGTTTAACGGCTAATCTACAGTGTAAACAGAAAAACAAACAATCAATTTAGCCAATCAAAACTATACACGTGTTGGCCTTAAACCTATTTACTCTGGACCAAGTGGAACGGTGCGTTCTGGACCCTAAGACCAAGTCTTCAACAACGACTTCGAATAGGTGGAGAACGACGACGTTCCAGCGTTGATCTTCATCAGTTTGCAGCAGCTCTGTTGCATTTCTGGAGAACTGAAGAACAGCTGCTGCTATCGATTGTCTGAGAATGACCTGTTCTCCATTACTTTTGCCCCTATTTTTTTTTTTTTAACCTTATTTGTTGCGAATTGCGATCGATGCTGATTATGCAAGTAAAGTAAAGAGGGTGGATGAGGCTGGGGGCGGTTGCATGCAAGTTAAGGTCAGGCACAAACGTGACAACAGAGATTCTGTGTATAAAGCGCAATAATGCGTTTTCATCCTACTTTAACTACACAACAATGATTTAAGCCACAGTCGACCAAATCCGAGAACCGCATTCTATTGTTAAGGTCCAAAAAAAAAATGATGTTCAATGCAAGTAGGACTTGTATGTGCAAAGAAACTAGAAATGAATGATTTGTGAACACTAAACAGATAATTTCCATAAAAAAAAAAAAACACTAAACAGATAAGATCAGCAATTTCGATTGCTAAAATGAAATTTGGGTTAATTGCATGATTGGTCACTGAAATTACAAAAAACGTTCATGTTTGGTCACTGAAAATATTTAAATCCAATCTTATCACTCAAATTAGTTAAATGGTCAAGTTTGGTCACTCTCCGTTAACTCTAGCTTACGTGGCAGTCAGCTTTCATGGTTGACCGTTAAATATGTGAAGTGACAATTAAAAAATTATTAAAATTTTTTTTTTATATTTTTCACCTTATTATTACATTCATTAAAAAATAAAAAAATAAAAAACTTAATTTCTTTTCTACACACCAAAACCCTAAGTGCGATGGGAAAAAGAAGAGAGATTCCTGGACTGTTCTATCTCCTTCCCATCCAAACAAAATCTTCACCTTTTACTTTCATCATCGAATGATTTCCTATTGGATTATTATAAGATGGAGCTGTATTTTGTTGGACTTGAAAGGAGGAGAGCAACAATATAAGCGCCAAAACGACTCAATAATGCAGCTACCTTTTTCTTCACATCCATGGTATTCAATCCACAGCTATAATGGGTACAGAACAACGAGAGTAGTTCCCTAATGAGATTTTGCATTGTTTCAGAATATTGGATGACAGATGATTATCCCATTTATCTACAAATGTCAAACATATTGACTAACATCTAAAAATACACAAGATCTTAAGCTAGATAACTACTATCACACATTTTGTACTATGTATATGGAAAGAGGCTTCTATTTGCAATTAAATTATATCGATTGAATATCAAGTATCAGACCGAATCATATCGACAATTAATATAAAGCGAATACCAAATTAGATCTATGATCATATTGATGCATTTAAAAAGACAACGTGCTAAAAATATAGTTCTTCATGTCATCAATTGCATTATCAACAGAGAATAGACTTAACCACCACCATTTTAGAGTGGACCATATACGGTATATATACCACGCTGAGCTACTAGTTATTCCTCTTCCCGTGATCTCAATGAAGGTGGATGGCCTACTGGCCTGGCTTGCCGCAGAGCAGCATTAAGGCAGTGTTAGATCCAGATCAGAAGATTTCAGTACACAAAGAGGGTAATAAGCAAGAGTGGACCGTCAAAATTTGAAAAATTCAGTCTCAACTCTCAATCATACATCCACACAACCATATACATTACTGCAATGTCCTCCTATTCCTATTCCTTACTTCAATGCGCCTCCCCCACGTATTTTAACTTCCCCCAGGCGCAAACTAGTATTACCCTGCACACTTCTGCTACACTACTCTTCCCCAACTCCAACCGTGAAAAACAGTAAAAGACATGTGCTGCACTGAGATCCAAGGAATGCATTTAAGATTGGACATTGACCCAACTACCAATTTACGACCAACACAAGACCAACACAAGCAGTAAGAAGAAGAAGAAAACACAGGCAGACAGTCTGGTAAATAAATCACATTTCGGATTCAAACCCAATGTTCCAGAACCCTTCAGGAGTCATGGGAGGGGCGTACCTGTACCGATGCCTGGAGACGCCATCATGATGCTCGCACCTCAGATTTTCATTGCCACCACCTCCGTTCTCCAGAACGGCGTCGTAGAACTTCTTGCACTGCTTGCACTCCACGCCTTGCAGTTTCTCCCGTTCCGCTTTCTTTCGAACCGTTTCGACGTACTTGAAACCATTCTTTCCCCCGGTCAACGTTTGATGATCCCGCTTTGCTGGACCGGGGTCCACATTCATGTTCTGAGTTTCGTCATCTGAATCGTTATCAACACGAGGGATGGCGTCTACCATAGCTGGAACCACGTCAGCAACGTTAGCTTCTGCTTCCGTGATGACGGCTTTGTTCCTGTTTGCTCTGAGGTTCTCCAATGGAGTGCTCAGAAAATCATCATGTGGGTCCGGCCCATTTTTGCCTTGGGCGCACGACCTAGTTTCCACCCACCCTGAAGCAGGCCGCTTTACTCTGCTTATGGAGGGAGATTTTGCTGTAGGCGGAAGCTTCTGCGCTGCAGGACGAGGTGGAGGAAGGTGGAAACTCGGATTTGAAACCGTCATCGTCCATGGCATGTCAGTCTCAACGCCATCGTCAATTCCATCTTCTATCTTCACTTTCTTTGGCTGGTGAGGATATGTGTTAGTGTTCAAGTCCTTGGTCTTGAGCTCTGCAATAACACAATGCAATACGATCAGAATTGCAGCAGTCGTTCGTATGCATTCTCGAGGTCAAGTTCCCAATCACCAAAGGCATTCTCGGAATCTTCTGCCATTGAAGGACAATAGATAAACTACTATTGCATAACCGCTTTAATTTCCGAATCCAAACTATAAGGAACAGTGCTCCATACCATAACGAACACATTTGCAGGGCCTTATTTAGTTATGCACATCTTAAGCAGCTTTTTAAGATGGCTCCATAGTCAAAGATGGGATGTTAATAATAGTGCGAAGCCTAAAGATTCCTCTTACCAGGTGATAACGTTGGACTCTTGGGGTGCTTGAACCCATCACCGACGCCTTTCAATTTAGGCTGGGGAAGCATCTTCCCTGATCTAAGACCACATTTCTCGCAAAGATAGGTATATTGATGTTTCAATCTCTTGTATGCATCGACAAGATCCTTGTTCTTTCCCTTCTCTCCCACCAATTCAGCATTTTTGGCCTGAATTTGCTTAAGTAATTCTTTTTTGTCATCATCTCTATTGCTATCGGTCTTCTGCAGCTCAATCACGTTCTCCTCTAAATCTCTTATTTTGCCTTCAAGCTCTTCTCTAACCTTAACATGCTCCTTCCATATAGAATCTTCGTTCAAGACTTTATCCCTCATTTTGACGGAGAGTTTACTTGCCTGCTCTTGTAGCTCTTCCTGCAATGCTCTTCCCTCCTCTACTTCTCTACTCTTGTCCTTCAGATTCCTTTCGAGTTCATCAATCTTCTCCTTAAGCTTGACCCTCTCCTCTTCGGTTTCCTTCCGCTCACTAAAGATTTTCGACCCGAAGTACTCATTCAATTCCCCCATACCTTTTAATTCATCTTTTTGCCCAACTATTTCCTCGTTCTTTTCTACTATCTCCTTCATGAGATCCTCAACCTTTCTCTCTAACCCGTCCACTTTGTCAGCCAACACATTTGCCTTCTCTTCCTGCACCTTAAGCTGCATTGACTGTTCATGTATTTTGGTCCCTTTCGATCGAATCATTTGAATCAACCTATTGCTCAATTCCATTCCCTCTTCAACCTCAGCAGACTTCTTGGCGAGTTGCTGTTCTAGTAAACCAATTCTCTCCTGGTCCTTTCCCGTTTCAACACCAGACATCATCTCCCTCTTCTTTGCTTCCAACCACACTTCCTTCTCGAGATTTAGAGACTGGTTCTCCGCAACAGCTTCTTGCTTCCCGAGTTCGAGCTCCTTGATTCGAAGCATGAGTTCCTTCTCTTTCTCTTTCCATCTATCATCTGCCTGTCTCTTCGCCTCCAAATAACATTCCTGGGAGTTCTTGTACTTGGATTGAACATTAGGGTAGAGCTGGCTGCAGAATATGTATTCGATCTGAGAAATCCTGTCTTTCGCTTCTTCAATCGTAGCAACTAGAATTGTACTCAGCCGAGATACATACTTCACATCGTCCAGATCCACCAGGGAACCGTTTTTTGGCGGCACTTGATCCATTCCCCGCACGAGAATATGCAAGAAAAGAAAACTCCACAGTCCCTATACCACAAACTGACCTACTGATTGGATTACGATTTCAGTGAAAGCGAGTCGGAGAGTGCAAACGCAAGAGAGGAACTACTAACACAGGCACACTTCGGCTAAAGAGGATTACAGATCTATGGTTATCGGCATCCAGTTTGAAGCATTCCCATAGAAATGAAGACAGAGAGTGCAATTCTCGTTCCACGCGAACTATGAAGACGAAGTAAGTACTCGCAGAGAAATTATTTTACCTAGAGCATATTCTGAATGAAAAGGTCCCGATTCAAGGAGGAGACGTCTCGCTTCGACAGTTCTGGGCAGAGGTCGGTGGAGAGTTTTCTCAGCAACGGCGACGCTCGCACTTGATTAATTGACCGGGAAGGGCTATGGCTGATTGGCTAATGGCTACGGCGTACCCGGAACTCGGCGATGGCGGGTCGGGGGAGCTTGAAATTAGAAATTGAAAATGAAAATTATGATTAGCTTCGCGGGCACGATTCACATTTCGTTGCAGCGTGGAGCCCACCGCCTGGCTATCTTAGAAATTTTGGGAAAAAAAATGCATAATTGGAATGTTTTGGGCTCAATTTGGGGATAAGATCTAGTCCTAGTCACTTGTCTAAGTCAATTTCAGCTGTTACAGCCAGTAGCGTAGTTAGGATTTCACTCAAGGTGGGTCCGACATAAAAATAAAATTATATAAAATGAATGAAATGACCTATAACATGTTTCATAGTATTTCGACATATTTTCGTTGGAAGGTGGATAATTCGATACTAAATTAGAAATTAGTAAATTTATAATACATAATTAGGGACACAGTTTTATATAAAGTCAAGAGTTATTTATATAATATGCAAGGTTCATGTGTACCATAAATCTACAATTTATTTGTAGATAAGTAAACTAGTAAACATGAGGTAATAGGTTCCAGAGTTATTAATTGTGTACAAATATTGTTATCTGTGTAATAATTTAGCAAGGATTGTAAATCCGTAGCAGTGGTTGTGCTAAAAATGTCAATAGTATGATATTTATGTTGAAACCATGGTTTAATCGTGATTCAACTGTTTCATACTACTAAAAAACTGTCTATGATTTAAAATTCAATAGAAGGTTTTCTTGATCGAACCACCTATACAATACGATTTTACAAACACTATAATCTTGAGCCAAGGTGGGTCCCGGGACCCACCTTGTTATGAGCTAGCTCCGCCACTGGTTACAGCTCATTAAAATTTATTGATCTCATTCATTTAATTTAATGAAGGCAATATACTAATTGCATTATAATTTAATTTATTAACTAAAATACAAATAAAAATAAATGGCGCTCCCTTCCCGCGAGTCCCTCGCTGATCCCGGCCGCCGTTTTCTTCCCGCCGATCCCCGCCGTCACTTTTATTCGGCCCTTTAGTGCAGCGGCTTTTAATCCTGGAACTTTTTATTTCCCCTAGGTGTAACGAGAGAGAGAGTTTTTTCTATTGACCGGAAAAGACTTTTCCGGCGACAGTGTTGGATTTGTACTATTTGTCGGTTTATTTTGTAATGTTTGTATGTTTTGTTATTTTGTAATGTTGTCGGTTTCTTTTGAAATGTTTGTAAACTTTGTTATTTTTGTGCATCATGTTTATCATTTTTGTCAACCATGTTTGTAATGTTTTTTATGTCTAAAAAACAACCTGGTTGACTTTTGGATGGAACTCCTCTATATAGGGATGAAGCCTCCAAAGTCAACCCGGGTGTTTTTTCCAGTTTGTATGGATTGTCGGTCTAGTTTGTCATTTTTGTCCACCATGTTCGTAATGTTTGTATGTCTAAAAAACAATCGGGTTGACTTTGAGACGGAGCCCTCTATATAGGGATGGAGCTTCCAAAGTCAACATGGGTGTTTAGTCGAGTTTGATGGATTGTCAGTTTAGTTTGTCATTTTTGTCCACCATGTTCGTAATGTTTGTATGTCTAAAAAACAGTCGGGTTGACTTTGAGACGGAGCCCTCTATATAGGGATGGAGCCTCCAAAGTCAACCCGGGTGTTTTTTCTTTTTTGTATGATTTGTATTGTTTGTATAGTTCATACGTCTGTAATGTTTGTAAATCTGTTTGTATGTTTTGTCATTGTAGTTTGTACTGTTTGTATGTTTTATGGTTTGTACTGATTCTAAGTTCGGTTTGTATACTTCGTAATTTTCCGTAATACCCAAACTATCTTTGTTATTAATTAAATAGCCCTTCCCACGTTTTAACTGTCAGATTGCTCTGGTCATATCTAAGGGCTGGGAGGGGGTTAGCCAAATGACTAAGCACCCCTATTCATGGGATCCGCACTCCTCAATTTGGTCCCATACGGGTTGGGTCTCGAGAGTCGAGTCTCGACTCTCGAGCTCTAATATATAGGTTGAGAACACCTCTTGCTTCATTCAGAACCTAGAGGGGGTTTGATTGTTTCAAGGAGCTCTCTAGCTATCTGAAAGTGTTTGGCAAATCCTGTTTATTCTTTATTGAGTAATGGTATATATACAACAGGAATATACAAGAGCTGAATGAGGTACAAGTGAGGAACGGAAAGAAACAGAAAGCCATGGTGGAGAAAACAGAAAAACAGAGTGGAGAGAAGTGGTTTTTCTGTTCCGAACTATCAGTAAGTAGGCTTCTCTATCACTATCATCATATCTATATTCTAATTTCTAACCAGTACCATTTCACGATGTCAGGATTTTCATAAAGCCGCAATTGCCAATTGGGTATCAAAACCATTTCACGATGTCAGGATTTTCATAAAGCCGCAATTGCCAATTGGGTTCCTTTTTATAGTCTTTCATCTATGTGCTTTTCAGTTTCCCTAACAGACTGTTTGATACCAAATGAATCAAGAATTCATTTCATTGTAAAATGAATTACTGTGTAGAATTCATTCTCAAATGAAATCTTGTGTTTGGTATGTCATATTCAAATCTTTAGAAATACAATAAATTGCGGTGTAGAATTTATTGTCAAATGAATTCATGTGTTTGGTATGTCATATGTATAAGTAATTTAGTTAATAAAATAGGATAATTATATCATTATATTAAAAATAGCAAATACTTGTGGAATTCATTTGAAAATTTCATCTCAATTCCTCGGAATTGCTATAACTAGTTCCAATTCCGTAGAATTCAAATTTTAGAATAGAAAATGAATGCTTTCAAATACCAAACACAAAAAGGTTTCAGGTTAATTGCAAGTTTGGTCACTGAGTTTACTAAAAAGTGTCATGTTTAGTCATTCGAAATATTAATTTTAATGTTGGTCACTTGAATTAGTAAAACAATCCATATTTAGTCACTCTCCGTTAGTCTCCGTTAACACTGTCAATCAATTGCTGACGTGGCTAACAGAAGTGCTGACTCGGCTAACAGAAGTGCTGACTCAACCAATTTAAACCCGCCACATCATTATACCCAACCCGCCACATCCCTCAACCCACCACCTCAATTTTCCCAACTCAACTCATAAACCAACCGTTCCAAACCCGTGACCAGATCTGACCGACTCTAGTTTCCTCCGCCTGGTGCCTCGACGATTCAGATCCAAACCCATGATTTAATAGCACAGCTACCTCATATCACAATCTCACCATGTCCAGCTCCTTACGCTCCTTCGTTGAAATGAGAAAGGTAATATTGAATAAGGTTTCCTAGACTCAAATCACCAATAGCTTTCGATTAAGCTTTCTTAGACTCTCGACATTTCTGGTCACTAGAATTTCTTCCAGGCACCAGGCGGAGGAAATTAAAAGATTTCCATTGCGGATGTCCATCGTCTTGGCGTCAATCACGCTGAGGCCCTCGTGGAGAAGGGGCTTGATGTTGATCTGCTTGAGCCAGCGGTTGATCTCTGACCCGCCCCGTGGACGAGGATTGGGCGAAGGCCGACGCAGGAGACGACGACAAGGTTGCCAACGACGGAGGCCTTCAACTTCAGGTCTACCATGGCGGCGGCGGCGCACTTCACGATGGTTGTTTTGCCCCTAAATCACTAGATGTATGGGAGGGATTCAGACGGGATCTCGACCCTGAACTGCTCTGGGAACTTGGGATGCGATGCGTCGTCGGAGGGGGAGGGAACTGCAGCCGCGGAAGCTCTGATGGCAAGAGAAGACATGCACTTGGCCGAAGAATGTGGTATGCAGTGCAGATTTGGGGATCTAAAGGTTGAAGGAATGAGGGATTTGGAGCCGGAAGAAGGAAGAGGTTTGAAGAAGGTTTTGGTAGCCGCCGTCATTGGGGGTTTAGTTGGAGAGTTGTTGCAAGGAGACGAAAGTAAGAGGGTTGCAAGTGAACTAAGAAATTCTAATGTTTACGGGGTTGGATCTGAATCGTCCGGTCGGATCTGGTCACAGGTTTGGATGGGTTGGTTTATAAGTTGGGTTGGGAAATTGATGTGGCGGGTTGAGTGACGTGACGGGTCGGGTTTGATGATGTGGCAGGTTAAAATTGGTTGAGTCTGCACTTTTGTTAGCCACGTCAGCAATTGACTGACGGAGTTAACGGTGACTAAACATAGATCGTTTTACTAATTCGAGTGACCAACATTGGAATTAAATATTTCGAGTGACTTGAAGCCATGAAGCCTCTCCAGGCACCTGGGCCGGATGGTTTCCAAGCGATCTTCTATCAGCAAGCGTGGCGTGTTGTGGGCAAGGCCTTGAGTGACATGGCCATCTCCTTTTTTGAGAATGGTACACCCCCAGTGGAGATCTCTTCCTCGACGGTCGTCCTCATTCCGAAGGTGGAGAATCCGGAATTCGTGAATCAACTTCGTCCCATCTCTCTCAACAACGTCAACCTGAAAGCAATGACGAACAGGTTGAAACTTCTTATGAAGAAGTTAATCTCCCCTCGGCAGAGCAGCTTCATACCGGGAAGGCAAAAGTCTGACAACATTCTGATTGTCCAAGAGGTGTTACATTCCTTTAGGAAGAAGCATGGTAAGAAAGGGGGGATCATGGTGAAGATCGATCTCGAGAAGGCTTACGACAGACTCCGGTGGGACTTTCTGAGGGATACTTTGTCAGAAGTTGGGCTCCCAAACTCTTGGATTCGATGCATCATGTACTGCGTGGAACACAACCAGATGCGTATTCGGTGGAATTGGGAGCTCTTGCAGCCAATTACCCCTACTCGGGGGGTTCGTCAGGGAGATCCTCTATCACCTTATCCATTTGTTCTTTGTATGGAACGTCTCTCGCACATAATTGACCAGGCTATGCGAGAAAAACTATGAAAGCCCATTAGCTTGTCGGCGAATGGTCTGGCCCTCACTCACCTCTTGTTTGCAGATGATCTCATTCTTTTTGCAGAAGCAGAGCGTTCGCAGGTCCGGATCATTAAGACTTTCCTGGAGGAGTTTTGTACGATCTCGGGACAACGCGTTAATTACGCTAAGTCTGCCATGTTCATCTCACCAAACATCAACCAGGAGAGAGCCCAGCTATTGAGCACCAGAGCCGTAATTCCCCTGACTAAGGATCTGGGGCTGTACTTGGGGATACAAGCTATTCATGGCAGGATCACCAAGACTCGCTACCAAAATCTGGTTCTTAGAGTCAAGAAGAAGCTAGCTCCCTGGAAAGCCAGGCGGTTGTCCTTGGCGGCCAGGCTTACGGTGGGGAGCTCAGTTTCCTCCTCTATCCCTACTTATCCTATGCATACTGAGCTTATCCCTTTAAATGTTTGCAATTCCATAGACAGAATTAACAGGGATTTTATCTGGGGCAAGGAGGATGATCAAGGTAGGATGCATCTTGTCTCGTGGGAGAAACTTATGGAGCCCAAGCGGCAAGGCGGGGCGGGCTTACGATCCTTGAGACAAGCCAATCTGGCGCTTCTAGCAAAAGGGGGATGGAACATGTTAACGGAAAAGGACAGCCTGTGGACTCGCATTATGAAAGCCAAGTACGGAAAGCAGCGGCGTGGAATTGACATGCTCCGGCCTAGACAGGGATGTTCTTTTGTTTGGCAAAGCTTTACTAAAGCTTCAGACCTTCTTAGACGGGGTCTTGCGTGGAATATTCATAATGGTAAGGACACTAACTTTTGGCGGGATATCTGGTTGTTGCAGGTTCCCCTCTCGACAGTGGCGCTGCAGCCAATACCCGAGGAAATGCTTGCAGACGTGGTTGCAGACTATGTGAACGAGGATGGAGTTTGGGACATTGACCGGCTGAAGCCGTGGCTGGCGGAAGACACTCTCCACAAGATGACCGCTGTGGCAGTGGACCTTCTCTCACCAACCGCAGACACTTTATTCTGGTCGGCCTCGGAGAATGGTCGTTTCTCGGCAAAGTCAGCTTATATGATGGCTTATCCTAGGCTGGCGGAACACAATGAGGGGTTGTGGCGGAAAATCTGGCGCTTACAGGTGCCGGAGAGAGTTCGTTGTTTCACTTGGCTGGTGGCGCTTGGGCGGATTGCAACTAACGCACTACGCTTTTCCAAGAAGTGCTCGGCTTCTCCGTGTTGTGATAGATGTGAGGGAGTCCCGGAGTCTATACTCCATATACTTAGGGACTGTCCGTCGGCAGTTTATTTCTGGACGAGACAAATTCCATCCACAAACCAGCATGACTTCTTCTCTATGGCCTTGGAAGAGTGGTTAAGGAGTAACGTGACCAGGGACGATAGCCTAGCCTCCGGCATGGGCTGGGGTGACTTCTTCTCGACGGCTATTTGGTTGCTGTGGAAGAATAGATGTACTTTCTGTTGTAAGGGTGGCAGTTCGGCATTATCGGCTCCCTCCTTGGCTCACTCCATACATCACAAAGCTCTACTTTGGCATACAACTTGGAGCGCGAAGGACCCGATCCGCCTTGAGGCTCGAACAGTCACCCCCAAAGTTGCGACAAACATTAGCTGGACAGCCCCTCCGAACGGCTGGCTCAAACTTAATATTGATGGTGCTTCTGCCGGTAATCTGGGTAACGCAGGGGCGGGCGGCTTAATTCGGGATGAGCAAGGGAGATGGAAGGTGGGTTTTGTGGCCAAGATCGGTGAAGCTACGGCAGCCCTCACAAAGTTGTGGGCATTATATCATGGCCTGAATTTGGCTTGGAAGTATAGATGTGGGAACTTGAGGATTGAGACGGACTCCCAATTGGTAATTCAGTGGCTTAGGGATCGAAGTGATCCCTCCACCCCCATGCTTCTCTCTTGACTGCTATCAGGAGACTTATGGCGCAAGACTGGTTGGTTAACATTGGACATACCTATCGGGAAGGGAATAGAGGCGCGGACTGGCTCTCGAAGCACAATCTCGTCTATCCTTACGGTTTGTATGAACTTGATAACCCACCAGATGGTTTGACTAGGATCATTCAGGACGACATTAGGGGAGTCGCTTTCGAGCGTAGGGTTGTTGCCCCCCGAGCTTGTAATCTATTTTCATGTCTCCTTTCTTGGCGTTAGCCTCCTCCAATGCAAAAAATATATATATATATATATATTTCGAGTTACTAAACATGACAGTTTTTAGTAAATTCAGTGACCAACCTTGCAATTAACCCAAAAAATTTCATTTCAAAATAAATTTCTCAAAACTTATGGAATTCATTTATACCAAACGGTATGTAAAGTATCAGGGATCTATTCATGGTATAGACAAGCATCATAGCAGATCCATTCACGTAATAGACAATCAAAATGCCCTGGAAACTTTACTGTGATATGTCAATCAACAACGATGAGCTATGGCTACAGCAACTCAGCCATTTCAAACACGATGCTGAAAGTCCCAACTGGATGGAACCTACTCATTTTAACAAGCATAGTACTCAAGGCACTGGATACGACTCCAGAATTGACTATGATATTGCGAGAAGCGTTCTGAAATTTCAACGTAAAGAAAACGGAAACAAGACAGCTCGGATAACAATGAACAGGTCAAGTCAAGGCACATGATTTTCCTCTGATGAATAAGTTGCGGACAGCCAGCATCCAAAAACAAAACCCAGAGTCCCAGACAAAACACACCAAGGAACTATGACAATTTAAACCCAAAACTGAAGTACCTCGAGCTAAACAGGTAACAAAAACTATGTAGTTGGCTTGAGACTCTACTCTCATTCATCCTCCTCAATAACCTTAGTGCCCAACCCCTTCAACCCCTCTGCAGGAATTTCGGCAACAGTGACTAGAGAGTAGAACTCCTCCTTAGCATCTTCCTCGTCGTTCCTCTTCCGTGCAATACGAACACGAACCCTCCTCGGCACACTCCTGATACCTCGGCTCCAAATCTGCTTATTTAGCTTCACATCGACTCTCACGTCAGTTGTCCCCATGGCCTTCTGTGCAAACTTCCTTATCTCCTTGATTGCCTTTGGTGCCTTCTTCTTGAAGGTGCTTCACATAGGAGAAGAAAGCCAAATGCATGAAACCAGTTAGATTCTAGAACAGAATATGAGAAACCAATAGTAAACCTGAACGGGAAACCCTAATAAGGGAAATAGCATCACAATGAATGCAACAACAAACCCCTAATCAGCTAAACATAACAAACTAACCCATTTCTCCAGCTATAAACTTTCATCATTAATCCATGTCGAGCAGCAATTCAGTGGTGGATAATTGCTAGCCTCAGTCAACTACATTGCAATCTAGGAAGAAAAAAAAAAAACATAAGATTCAAAGAGATTCAGCAACTTTAAGCTATTCTAAGCCAACATTGGTAACTTCTCTTACAAAGAGATCAATTCATTCTAAAAAAAGTCGGAAAGCAATTTTCTAGAAAGTAGTCAAACGTAGAGGAGTCCTTAATCAGATTAAACTCCATAAACTGCCCATTTACTCTCCGCTTAATCTCAACCCAAGAAAAACAACAGAGGTCAGCAATCAACTTCCGTACATGGGAACGGCAATAAGCTGACAGAAATTAGCTCTTTCTAATCCAGATGTCAGCCATTTTCAATGCAAGTTAACAGGCAAAGATTCAAACAAAAAGGAGTAAAGAGCTCAAACGGTACCATCCATGGAGGCGCTTGTGGAGATTTATGTTATACTCTCGGGTAACGACCTCCTCCTTTCTTACCTTCCTCGGCTTCCCTTGCATCGTCACGGCGGCGAAAAGTTGCTGCAGTCTTCTCCCCTCGAAGCTCCGCCGATCTCTGAAACCCTCCGCTCCTCCGCCCCTGTACTTCCCTCTTTGGGCAGAGAACCCTAGCGCGAAGAATGATATACCCTCGCCAGACGGAAGTCTGGGCTCAGAAGCCTATACCCCTAAAGGCCCAAAGAAGTATTCAGCCGTATATGCGTGGATCTGTCATGTGTTTTGGCGTAGAATGGCCCATGAGCCCAATACAAAGGATAATAAGTTAATAACCCGTCATGGAATTAGCTAAATAGCTAGTTAAAACACACTTTTTATTTTCTTGGCGTATTCCCTACATGCCGAGTTCATGTGTCGTTTAAGGTCATTGCTTATCTGCTACTGCTAGGAACCAAAGTTTTTTTTTTTTTTATAGATGCTAGGAACCGTTGATAGAACGACAAAACATTTTCCTTACAGCTACTGGCGCATGTTCGATAACAATTATAATACAAAACAAAATCAACAGTTAATTAAACGCAATTATTATCTTCTTTTTATGTTTTACAGCTTAGTTTAGTTAAGCAAAATGATTCCTTTGATTTCATTTGGCCACACGGACGGAACGCCTACTAATTACAAAGAACAAATTATCACCAATTTCAAAGGAGTCCAATCCCAGACCTCCTCATTCACTAATTGGGTCGTTGGAATGCATTGTTTTGTATGAGTGGTATTTTAGAGCAAATTATTGTGCAATTGAAATATCTCAATCCAAAATAATACATTTCAATTTTCATCCAAATGATTAATTATTTGAATCAAAATAATTCATCATAAGAACTCATTCATACGAGGCATGAGATAATTAATTTAGGGCGTACTATTTGTAGCCCTAAATTGTCTTTATTTGTAGTCCTAAATTATAAAAAGTACAATAATACCCATCACATTTAAATACATTTAGTTCACACATTCCCAGACCAAAAAATTCAAACACTTTCTCCAAACACAATCCTACAATACTCGCCGTCGGCGACAACGACAGATTACCCGACGACGGCATACACCTTTCTCCGATGAGGTACGCCAGCAAATTACCCGACGACTGATTTTGCCGTCTGTCACCGGCGATGGCCGAAAGTCCTGTCGGGACGTCGCCGGTTTTTATTTTATTTTTAATTTTCTGTTATTTTAAATTTGTGAAGTATATTAGATTTTTTAAATAGATATTAATTTAGATTTTTTGGTTATTATTTTAGATTTTTTTATAATAGATTGATGAATAATTTAGATTTTTAAGAATATTTAGTGATTTTATTACAATTCATTATTTAATGAATATTTTCATTATCATATTTTTTAGATGAATTTTAATTTTTCATATTTTGAAACTAAGTTAATGTTTCCTGAAAATAATTTAGACTTTTAATTGCCATATTTTAAGAATATGTAGTGTTTTTACTGTAATTTATTATTTTATGAATATTGTAATTACCATATTTTTAGTAGGATTTGTTATAATATTATTTGTAGAATGAAGTTCTTTAATTTCATTTTTTTATTATTTTGAAACTAAGTTAATGTTTACTAACAATAATTTAGACTTTGAAGAATATTTAGTGATTTTATTGTAGTTTATTATTTTATGATATTGTAATTATCATATTTTTTAGGATGGATTTGCTATAATATTATTTTTAGAATGAAGTTCTTGAATTTCATTTTTTATATTTTGAAACTAAGTTAGTATTACTGAAAATATTTTTCTTATATGTATTTCTTGAAGTTGGTCAAGTTCGGACTTTTGGATATCACTACATCAAATAATGAGTAACACGGTTAGTGAGTTAAACTTTGTAATTTTAGAATCATGTTGAATTATTTATTGTTATGATGAAGTCTAGTAATTGATAATATGCTTAAATATTTGTTTTACAATGATACATATTGTTTGAAAAATGCTGAATTATTGATTTTGATGTCTTGTTGATAATTTAATTAGTACGTGTCTACTTGTTAAAAACTTTTTTATTGCATGTTAAAATATTAGGATTTGGTAGTTAATCATGCTAAATGTGCTAATTTTTTGTTGAAAATGTATTGGATTAGTTTATGTTCGAATATTGAATAATTGTTAACAACGTTGTGTTGTTGATAATTTAATTAGGACGTGTCTACTTGTTAAAAACTTTTTTATTGCATGTTGAAATATTAGGATAAAGAGGCGCATTGACACTCGTAATAAGACCTGACAGGCATAGTCCGTGGTATTGATAAAGAGGCGTATTCGCACTCGTTACAAGACCTGACAGACATAGTCCACGTTATTGATAAAGAGGCGCATTTGCACTCGTAATAAGACCTGACGGACATAGTCTGTGGTATTGATAAAGAGGCGTATTTGCACTCATAATAAGAGAACACATGCTTTCATAAGCGGAAGTCTCGCGTACAAGTTTATTCGTCATAGACTTGCAACGGGTCTATAAAGGCGCAAGTTTTGTGCATTCCAAGTTCGTGGAATCTTGGTTCTGCTCAGCTCTTCGAGTTTAAAGGTATTTGCGCCTACTACTTCACGTATCCTGTACGGGCCCTCCCACGGAGACGCTAACTTGCCGTGGTTCCTGTTGGGGTGGAAATTTTGGCGAGCACCTGGTCGCTGTTCTTGAGGTTGTGCGGCTGGAGCTTCGCGTTATAGTATTTTGCCACCTTCATTTTGCCCGCCGCCAGACGTACAACTGCTATCTCCCTGCGTTCCAACGCCATATATAGGTCTAGTTGTCTCAGTGCATCATTGTCTTCCACGTTGTATGTCTGTACTCGAATGGCGGGGATGTTTGTCTCCATGGTTCGGTGGGCCCATAGGACGCTATGAAGCTCTTCGGGCCAGTTCCTCTTTGCTTCGTCCAACCTTGTGTGTAGGTCGTGCAGGATGGCCTTCTTGGCGGCTTCGGCTTGCCCTTCTCTTGTGGATATGCGACGAACGCGAATCGCGTGATTGTTCTGATCTGGTCGCACAGGTCGATCACTTCGCCGCAGTCAAATTGTGTTTTGTGGTCGAAGATGAAGCATTGTGGTGTTTCGATTATGGAGAGGATATTTTGGGCCAAGAAACGTGTGACTTGTTGTGCCTTGATGGAAGCTAGTAGTTCCGCCTCTATCCACTTCGTAAAGTAGTCAACCGCGACGATCAGGTACTTGCGTTTTCCTTTGGCAGTAAGGAATGGATCGAGGAGGTCTACTCCCCATTGGGCGAACGGCCACGAGCTTATGTTCCCTTGCATCTCGGCCGCCGGAAGGTGGTGGAGCCGCGCGTGAATTTGACATTTGTGACACTAGTCAAAGAAAGCCTTCGCGTCCCTTTTCAATCACGGCCAGTAGTAACCACGCAAGAATATCGTTCTTTCTAGACTTCTCGCTCCGTGGTGCATAGAACAGATGCCTTCGTGTGTTTCTTATATCGCTCTTTCCGAGTCCCGGTCTCCTAGGGTCTTCAAATACGCTCTGGCATGAGAGCGTCTGTACAGGTCTTAACCGATAATGGTACATCTGGCTGCCTTTTTGCGTAAGGCCCACGGTAAGGCAGCTACACCGTGTTTGCTGGCTGCCCCATCGACATAAATCTCCCATGTCCATTCTGACGTGGTTTCAAGCACAACTCCTTCCACGACGAAATCCGCCAGGACTTGTTCCTTGATTGCAGGTCTTGGTGCGTACATGATGTCATACTCGGACAGTTCGACTGCCCACTTCACTAGCCACCCTGAAACTTCCATTGAACTCAGGATCTTCTGGAGTGGTAGATTGGTAAGGACGGTTATGGGGTGCATTTGAAAGTAAGGACGTAACTTTTGGAATGCTGAGATAAGGGCTAGGGCGGCCTTCTCATTTGGGGAGTAACGGGTTTCAGGATTTATCAGGGTGCGAGATGTATATTACATGACTCTTTCTTCGCTCCTGTTTTCCCTGGACACAAGTACCGCGCTAACCGCGCGAATTAAGATGACAAGGTAGAGAAACAACATTTCATTCAACTTGGGAGCCGCCAATACAGGGGGTGATATTAGATACATTTTCAGTTCCTCGAACGCTGCTTCACACGCATCGTTCCACTCAAACTTCACTCCAGCTTTGAGGGTTTGAAAGAAGGGCGCACATTGGTCAGCAGACCTCGAGATGAACCTGCCCAATGCCGCCATCTTTCCCGCTAGCGATTGAACTTCCTGTGGATTGTGTGGCGCTTGCAGCTGCCGAATCGTGTCCATTTGCTTCGAATCGACCTCTATCCCTCTCCTACTTATCATGAAACCTAGGAATTTTCCCGCTTCTGCCCCAAAGATGCACTTCAGTGGGTTAAGGCGCAGATTGTGAGCGCGGAGAGTCGCGGAGGTCATCCAGGTGTGGCGTATCTTGCCTGAACTTGACAATGAGGTCAGGGACATACGCCTCAAGGTTGCATCCTATCTAGCCTTCGAACACAGCGTTGATGAGTCGCTGGTAGGTGGCTCCTGCGTTTTTCCAGTCCGAATGGCATCCCGATGAAGCAGAAGTTTCCAGTCGCAGTCATGAAAGCGGTCTTTTCCTCGTCTTCTAGGCTCATCAAAATTTGTTGGTACCCAGAAAACATGTCTAAGAAAGACAGTGTTTCGTGGTTGGAAGTGGAATCCACTAGCAAATCAATCCACGGGAGAGGGTACGGATCCCCCCAGCATACCTTGTTGAGAGTTGTATAATCCACACACATTTGCCAGGCTCTCGAAGCCTTTTTTACCAGGACCACATTAGAGAGCCACCTTGGATATTGTATCGGTCTGATTAGCTATGCCTCTAGCAACCGCGCCACTTCTTCCTTGATCGTTTTGAGTTTTTCTCCAGTGAAAGTCCGCCTTGCCTGTTGTATTGGCTCAGCGGTCTTGGGCACCGTGAGTTTGTGTTCCGCAATCTCTCTCTGCACCCCGGGCATGTCTTGGGTGCTCCACGCGAAAAGCTCCTTGTACTCCTTGAGCAGGTGTACGAGTGGTTCCATCATTGCATCCGGAACATGAGTCGATATGCGAACCTGTTGATCAGGCTTTGTCGGGTATAGTGGCACCTTGAAGGCTGAATCAGCCAGGGCAGGGCGCAGTTCCTCTTCCACTCGAGTATCCACAATGTTGTTCCTTTTTAGCGTCGTGTGCTCCCTATGCTCACCCCTCGCGAAACCTGTTCCTTCCGTGGTAGGGAATTTGATGAGTTGGTGACAGGTTGACGCCAAGGCTTTGAATTCGGAGAGGAATGGTCACCCTAGGATGGCGTTATGCGTTGATTGGCAGTCCACAATTGTGAACTCGACTTGTTCGGTTGCTCTTGGCGATTGGTCGCCGATCACCACTGGCAGTGTTATGATACCCAACACAGGGACGTGTGACCCTGAAAATCACACTAGGTTACCCTCTGGGTGGCGGATCATCCGTGGATCAATTTACATCTGGTCGAGGGTGATCTTGAATAATATGTCTGTCGCGTTTCCTCCGTCAATCAGGATCCGATGTACCTTTCAAGAGGCCACAAGTGCGATGATGAGCAGGGGGTCCTCAGAGGGTATTCCATCTGGAAACTCGTCCTCGCCGAAGTAGATGAGTTTTCCCAGACTAGTGCTAGCCGTCGCGCATTCCACCGCTCTTTTCCTTTTCATTTTTTTGTTGGGCCTCACTCCCTCTGTCGCCACCACTCCGATTTCCTTTCGCACCATCATCTCGCCCATCGCTTCATTGTATCCTGCGGGCGGTGGAGGATGAGGCTTTTGGGCCAGTGTTTGTCTTTCTGTGCGCACGAACTCTGTCAAGAGGCCCTTCCTAACACGCCCCTCGATCTCTACTCGGAGCATATAGCACTGATTTGTGTGGTGGCCCATTTTGCGGTGGAACTCGCAGAACTTGCGATGATCGCGCCTGTTTTCTGGTTGCCATTGTGGTCCCGACCAGTTAATGTGGTACCCCTTCTCACGAATAACGTCGAAGATGTTGAGCATGGTCTCGTTGAGGACTATTTGGTTTCGCTCATCCCTGTTCCGCTCGTGTGAGCGTTTCTTAACCGCTCGTACAATTGCAAGGGGGGTCTGTTCGCTCCACTGTGATAGCCGGGTAAGGGGAGGGGAGGGATCTGCGGCTGTCGGTGTGGTTGGTCCTCCCTTCCACCTTTAGGTTCGAAGTGGCGTATAGATCCCGCACCTAATAATTCCTCCAAAGTGATTGCCTTTTCCACTTTTGCCTCAAGCTCTAGTGAGGAAAGGACGGGGCGTTTCGTGAGTGATCGCCTCAATTCAGCGTTGCAGATGGACTTCATAAGGTGGCGCGCCTGTGTTTCGGGTGTGAGATCCCAAACCGCCATGGCTACCCGCAACCACCAGGAGTAGAAAATCCTAAGGCTTTCTCCATCCTTTTGTTTGACCTCTACTAGCATTGTCGTGTGTAACGATCTGCGCTTTTGCGAAGCAAACTTAGAGGTGAACAAACGAATGAACTCCTCGAAGGTGCGTATGATCCCATTTGAGAGTCGATTATACCAGTCAAGGCATATCCTCGCGAACATCAAAGGGAATGTTCGACACATAGCGACATTAGAACAATTTTGGAGTTGCATCCTCAGGCAGAACGCACTGACGTGATCATCTGGATCGGTCGTACCATTGAAAACCGGTAGGATGGGTGGGCTCCCCCGCCATGTGCTCCACCATGATTTCCAGACATAGGGGCTGGTGAAGCACCGGTCTGGGGGGGGGGGGGGTTCCCGATAAGCCGGCGATAGATGTTGTTTCAGGAAATCAAGATCGCTCCGATCGGACCGTGCATTTGCAAGCGCGACGGGGACCTCTGGGGTGGCGGTTGTGGTTGCCGTAGGGGTGATTGATCCGCCGGATGTGGTTGTCAGACTTGGCGGGGCGCTGCCAACGCGCATTAGTTCAATCATTTGACTCTTCTTGTTTTGCATGTCTAGAATGACCATATTTTGATGCTCCATTTGCTGTCGCATTTCTTTGGCCGACATCTCTGGCTCCTCTTCCTTGATTAAAACTGCGCCCGTGTCCAGTGTGGCGTGGAATAACAGGGCCCCTTCAGGGTTGACTGAGGGGTCGACGATTCTTTGGTTGGTGGTTGCCTTGAGGGGTGTTGTTTCCTCGTTCGTAGGATTTTGATTCGTGGGCTGCGGTTCTGACTTCAAATTTTTGACATTCTTCGTCCCACGGTGGGTGCCAATTGTTTGTTTGAGACTAAGAGTAGGTGGATTACACAAGATATGAACAAGGGGGAAGAATGTCAGATTAGATGTCGGATCCTTTTCCACTGAATGGACGAGGTTTGAGTTCAGAAAGAGGTTACATAGAGTATCTAAGAAGTAAATGTTCATAGAGCGAATTCGATCCCCTTTCTAGATGGAGTAAATGCCCTATTTATAGCTCCACCCTGGTAAGTGAGCATTTAACTTGACAAACACTCGTGTCACAGTGGTTGTGCCGGTTCCCGAGTCACTTCTTTTGCGGCATCCTTTGATGGTATTGCGGCCACGGGACGCTGTCGTCTTGATATCCTGCGCGAGTGGGTTTTGTGCCGCGCAAGTAGCCTCCCACGGTTTGACTGAATCAATAACTTAAACCGGTTTGACAACTTTGGTTATAATCATTAAGATTACAATGTTCGTCATTGATGAAAAGTTATAAGATTTTCAAAAATGGAAAAATAATTTGGATGTCATCTTAAATGTCATACAAAATTTAGCATTTCAAATCATTTGAAAAATTTAGATACATATTGATGAATATGTTTGTATTCAAATGAGATAACGCTAGGGATGGCAATGAGTCGGGTTGGGTCGGGTTTTGCCAAATTCAAACCCCTAGGTATCCGCGGGTTCATTGGTATCCATGAGTATTTGTCGTAAAAAATTACAATAACAAGTTTCTATCAAAATAAAAGTCAAATAACAATCTCTCAATACAAATTATCCAAATACAAAACACCATTCTAGAAAATTCAAGCAAATCACAAATTAACCATACAAATTGTTCAACACCAATCTAGAAAACTCAAAGCAAATCACAAATTATCCATAAATAACATGATTAATTGAAAGCTTCTTCCTCCTTGTCAATTAAGCTTCTTCACTCTCCACTTCGTAATATAAACTTCATTCTACACTATTAGAAAGAAAAAATTAGAAATGTCTCTGCAAACATAAAAAAGATTAGTTGTTAAGAATATTAAATATACCGAGAAAATAAATTATATGGGTGTGGGCGGGTATCCATGGGATACCTAAACCCAAACCCAACCCAATCTGGTGAATAGTGAACTGGTTTAAACCCAAACCCGGCCCAAAACTTGTCAACACTGGTTTTACCCGCGTTAACCGGGTTGAGATGGGGTAGGGTACCCGTGGGTTCGGATTTTGTTGCCATCCCTACATGATGCCCAACGGTTGGACACCAATCTAGTAATAATAATACAAAGAAAATAAAAACTTATCGCGCGATTTTTTGGACCTTTCCCCTTCCTCCGCACTCAACCCCAAAGAAAATCTCGCGATATGACGTGAGAAGAACATTTCAAACATCATTTCCTTCCTTTCCTATCCTTTACCTGGCCTGCGCGTTCTTTATATAAAAGCCATCCGAGTTCCATGAATTTACAACGATATGCCATTCTCTAAACCGGAAACTGGAAAACAATTAACAAAATCGAGAAGAAGACGATTACGAAAACACACAATCACAATGATCTTGATATTAATCCATAAAATAATCATAAAATTAATCTTATAATTCTGAAAATTAAAAAGATCCAAAGAAGAAGATTTAAATAAGATGAAAAAGAAGAAGAAAAAAAGGAAAGAAGATTTTCTATAGAAGATGTGGATGACAGGAACTCCAAGAGAAGAATTTTAATGGCGGATCTATCAGCAACAAGCCCTAGAAGTTCTTTCCTTCTTCAATCTCGATCTCTTTCCACGATCTATCGGCTAAGAGAGAAGAGAGGAGAAGCAAAAGAACAGGCTTTACATATCGAGAGACTCGATCTTGTTTTTTTTTCCTGATTTCGCCGTGATTTGTTTTTTTATTTTTCTCCAATTCAGACTCTGACGATCTTGGTAGCCTTAACGACAGGATTCTCCCTCGCGATAGCCTCCCAGCCGACCGATTTATAATCGTAGTTGCAGTCATGGCAATCGGAGTACCGGTGCTCCCAGCAGAATAGCTCCCCGCACCGGCATTGGAACCCGATCGACCCGACCTTCCTCCGACAACCGGAGCACCGATTCACTGCCTTCCTCGTCAAGGTCAATTTCTCCTGATCTGATGACATGTCCACATCCGAACTCGTCTCCGGAGGCGGATCTCGCGTGGGGGATCGAGGTAAGCTAGATCTCGGCGATATGTCGACATAAACTCGGCTTTTCGTTGTCATCATCGTTGTGGTTGTTACCGTTGATGTGGACGATGAGCTATTCAGGATCGTCGCGAGGGAGGAGGCCGCTGACGATGAGGATGATGAGGCGACAGTGGCGTTGGTCGCCGTGAAACATGTCTGACACATGTTATTGGAGGCGGGGTTCCCGGTGACGCCACAATTGTTTATGCAAGAGGTCAAGGTTTCGGGTACCTTGAACTCCGTCTCTTCTTTCTGCGTCTTCTGTGCCATATCTGCTTCTTCTTCTTCACTGACTCCGCCTTTCTTCCTCTTCCGGCCGATTGTGGCGGTGGTTTATCAAGATTTCACAACGTGTGGGGGATCGCTAGAGGGGGGGGGGGAAGAGGGGAAGAGATGGGTTGAGGGGAATGAAAGGATATGAAGAGTAAATGAGATCGAGAGGTCAGTAATGGCGATGGAATATGGGCCTCATAAGAGAGAAGCGTGGAAACAATTTCTTTAAGTAAAGGGAAATGGGAAGTTTTTCAATTTTGTTTTAAATTTATTAATTCACTTTTTATGCGCCACGAGCTTGACAAGAATGTCCTTTGGAATTCGGCGGAACTACGGAGCTTGGTTGAGATGGGTCCCACTTCTTTGTTTAATTTTGTTACGGCCTTACGGGGGAAGATTGGGTTATGACGTGTTCATCGTTATTGTCTACGAGAGGGAGAGAGAATATGTACAGTGTGGTTGGACTTACTTTATGGGTGTGTCTATGTGGGACCGCTGCTTTTAGCTACTTGATTATGTCATCGTTCTGGCGATTCTAGATGCTTAAAGGATAGGAAGCAAGCAAGGTTGTCAAACCGGTTTATACCCTTGCATCTTCTTACACTGTGTTTGGGAAGTTGGGGTAAGTGGGAGGGGGAGCAAAATGTTGGGGTAAGTGGCAATATCGATGAAAATGCACCTGTTTGGATAACTTTGATTAGTGTTGAGGGTAACTAAAGTAGGTGCAAAGTTACTATTTCACTACACCCGCCAAATCTGGGTGCAACAAAAATAAAAGGGAAGGGGGAAGGTGATGGGGTCGATTAGAGAGAAGGAGAAAGAAGGGAAGGGGAGCACGTGGGGCCGAACAAGGAAAAGATGAGGGAGATGGTGGGACGGGTAGAGAAAAGAGATGAGAGAGATTGGTGGTGGGTCTCTTTTTTAGTTATTTTATTAATTTTTTTCTATATTTTTGTAGTAATAATTCTTAAAAACAGTTAACACCTCATTTTGCACACTCCCACTTTTTTTCTCAAACAACAATTTACGTCCCAATTTGCACCCTCATATAATTTGCTCCTCTTAATTTGCACCTCAGTTTGTACCTCCTCTCTCGAATTTGCACCCTCTAGTAAGTGGAATGGTTCGACTGGTGGTACAATCTATGTGTGCTGGTTAATGTCATTGTTAATAAAAATATGTAGAAATGTGATAACTCATTAAGAATAAATGAATTTAATCATATATAAAACTTATTTGAAGACAATTTACTTACAATTCATATTGATATTTAAATAGAATGCGTCATTCCTAATAAAATTACAAATACTCATATTTAAATACAATATTTTTAACTTTCATATCTAAATGTTTATGTTTGAATCCAACAAATAACATCAATATTTAACTTTTAAACTCATAAAATAAATCATAAGTGATTTTTTATTAGTTAAATTCACTAAAACGATGTCATTTTACTTAGAGATCGTAAATGGATTATGCCAATCATACAAGTGGTGTTCACGCCGGCATTATGACCGATACCGGTTGAACCAAGTTCAATAAGTGGCATGCCACCCGCGTGACAACCATGGAAACAAGGAAGGTGGTATCGACAACTGAGGGGTAGAAATGGCAATGAAGTAGGTCAAATCCAGATAGGGTAGTTTATAAAAGATGGGAGTTAAGAGGGGTGTCTTTTTTTATTTCCGAGGAACATCTCCATACACACCACTTAAGCAATGATGGAGCGAGACCAAACCTGCGGGTTCACCTGCTTGAGCCATTTGGGCCCTCCACAAAGATTCCCAGTAAATGCCTCTGGGAACACCATATCAAGCCTCGGTGGGGGGTCAAACACGTGATCTGCCACTTCCTGGAACGAGCGCCCACTAAGGGTTTCACTTGACTATGTGACCTTTGGCAGGAGGTTTAATTATATGGGTATGTAATTTAAAAGAAAAACACGAAATATATATTTTTCATTAAAAATCCAATACACAAATGATAATATGATAAATGCTGTTATTTTCATATACTTATAACTTCATATGGCTAAAATATAAAGTAAGATAAGTAAAAGTCTAAGTAATTTAAGCAAAATTACATGTAATATTAACAAAAATGGGTCAAGAATGAGACGTGTCATGACAGATTAGATCGATATGATGGGTACTGTCACTTCAAAACAAACCAAACAAATTAAATAATACGGGTCGGAACGAAATTAACATCGAATGGTAAAGAGACTTTTTCTTTTGTTAATCATTTTCGCTGCTGAGGGCTTTTTGTATATATATATTTTCCTTGGAGTGGACCCCTGAAAGCACCGAAAGATTGTTGGAAATGTAACAACAACTATTTGATACATTAATATGATTGGATAGGTTGAGTGACTTGTATCTATATAAATATTTGATACATTAAGTTTTATTAAAAATTTAGTAAATGAACTATTACATAATAAATTGAATAAATTAGTGGAGAAGTAGAGGTTCTTATCCGAGTAAAATTTAATAATGAACGCATCTCGTTACCAACTACATATCATATGATATTTTCTTCGTCTTAAGTTATTTTTGAATTTTTTTGCTCAGAATGAACGAGTTCATCATGATTTATTGGATCTACAAATTTATGGGTGAACAAAATACAGTCCAAAAAATATCACACAATACCACCCTGGTACGGTGTGGTATCTTGTGGTCACAATGTTGAAAGTCGTAAACAGTTAGTATACTCCTACTATCATGTATTCAACCATCCTATAGTCTTGGTATATTCATATCACCATGGTACGCTTTTCATTCCATATGTTATGCACTTATTTCAATACCAGTCAATAACATATGGTGTAGACTGGTAAAAAATGACTCAATTTTTATTTGTTCCAAAAATATATCATAGTGAATATCATTTTGAAGAACACAATTAATCTGATCTAACTGTGCAAAGAAATTTAAATTTCAACTTAAAACGAGTGAGAAACCGTACGTTACAGATTAAAGGGGCAAAAATTAAAGGCTTTATAGGAGAGAGAATGGGCGTTGATGTGGTGGATTTTGATTGGGTTATGCTTAGTTATTGACCACAAGGTTACTGACTCGATCCACTACTAGTTAAAATGGGGAACAAATCCGGTTAGTAACCTTGTGGTGAGTAACCATGCATAACTCAATCACCATCCGCCACATCAACACCCCTTCTTTATCCTAGAAAGCCTTTAATCCCCCCAATCTATAACCGACGATTTCTCACTCGTTTTAAGTCGAAATTTAAATTTTATTGCACAGTTAGATCAGATTAATTGTACTCTTCAAAATGATATCCACTTTGATATATTTTTGAACAAAAAATTGAGTTATTTTTCACCAGTCTATCTATATGGTATTGACTGATATTGAAATAAGAGCATATCATATGATATGAAAAGAGTATCATGGTGGTATGAACATACCAAGACTGTAGGATGATTGAATACATGATAATAGTTAGGGCTGTCGGATCGGATCGGTTTGGGTAACCGAACCGAAACCAACCAAACCCGAAAAGACAAAACCCGCTTTGTTCCCAAACCGAACCCCAACCCAATATGGGAAGTGTCGGTTTCGGGTACCAAAACCCGAAGATCTCATTACCGGGTTCGGTTCGGTTAGACTGAAACTGAAACCTGAAGCTAAAGCACTTATGACGTGGTAAACTCCATAAGTTGACCAAAAGAATTATTACCTTAGTCGGCGTCTATATGCATGGAATTACCAAGTATCATGATCAGTTAATCTAGGTAATTATTAATTAGATTAATTTTAATCTAATTATGATCAATTAATGGCGAGATCGATGGGAATAACAAATGGGACTATGGGAGCAATAAAAGCAAAACGTATATAGCAAGTGGGATTGATATAGTAATTACTAATTAAAGAGTAGTATTTCAAAACGTCACCATGGGAGCCCAATTAGTGGATTCGGCTAATCACTGACAACCCGTTGTCATTTATAGCAGTCAACCCGTTGGAATTATAAGCGGTCATTAGTAATGTTTTTTTTTTTGTAAAAAGTCATTAGCAATGTGATTTAAATGCTTACCCTTTTTCCCATACGCGATTAATATAGTAATTAAAGACAATATGGTTTCAAAACGTCACTATGGGAGCCAATTACTGGATTTCGGTTTTGCGGTTTTCTTATCGGGTTCGCGGGTTTACCGAACCGAAACCATTACAGCACCTTTCGGGTTGGAACCGGAATACCCGAAAGTTTCTGACCCCTTGTCGGTTCGGGTTCGGTTTAAACCGAAAACCCAAAACCGAACTCCCACCCCTAATAATAGTAGTATACTAACTGTCATTTACGACTTTTAACATTGTGTACCACAAGATATCACCTTGTACCAGGGTGGTATTGTGGGATATATTTTGGTCCGGTACTTTGTTCACATAGAAATTTTTACAATAGATCATGATGAACTCATTTCTTCTGTGCCAAAATTTTAAAAAACGACTTAAAAATGAAGAAGATGCCATATGGTATTCAGTTGGTAACGGGAGGCAATAATTTTTTTTGCTAAAAAAATGTTGAAAATGGATCTCATATTATAGAGCACAATGAACTCGTTCCATCTGTGCATTTTTTTTTGAAATCCGAGTTAAAACGAAGTAGATATAAGCCAATTAAGAAAACAAGAAAAAATAAAAATGTCTTTAATTCTCCACCCTTAGATATGAATTTTCTGAATCAAGGGTCCAGATTTAGTTACTGATGGTTATGCACCGTATCTGGAGCCGTTAAAAGGAGAGTAGTAGGAATGGCAATGTGGCATGTCCGGGGCAGGTTTCTTGGTACCCAGACCCGTCCCGTGACAGGTCGGATAATTTATCACGCGTCCTGGGTAGGGGCAGGTCGACCCAATGGTTATGTAATTTATATGAAAAATATTATAAATATTCGTTTTTTATTATAAGATCAAGAAAACAAATAATATTATGATAAAATGTAGTTAAATTATTAGAGAAATTGAGGTTTTCACTAATTTACAACTTTATTATAGCTAAAATATGATGTAATAAAAGAAAAATCATAAGTAATTTGACAAAGAATACATGTAATTTAGGCAAGAACGGATCGAGAATGAAGGTTAGATCAAAACTAATTTTTTCTAACAACAACTAACAAGTCTCTTGCGCGATGAGGAGGTCATTTTTCTTAAATGGAAGCAAGGAGGAAGTAATTTTTTTTTATAGATGAAAGAGATGAGGAAGTATGATTCCGACGAGTCAGAATTGTCGGTTAGAGAATATGGCACTGAGGTTCGTCTATTAAAGGTTAGGGTATACCATTATGCTCCAAATTCAAGCTAATTCAAAATCTAAATAATAAAAATGGACAAGAGTACAGTAAGTTAAGCGTACGCCAGACGTTAGCCTAAAGTTAGGGGTGGACATCGTTCCGGTTCGGACCAGATCAGACCAAACTTAGGAGAACCACAGTTCAATAGTGAAAGATATCTTAGGACCAATAACGCATTCGGTCCGCTTTGGTCTATTTGGTCCGGTCCAAATGTAAATTCGGTTCATTTTTCTTCCGTATGTTTGAAATTCATAGAATCAAGGACCGGACCATATTATATTTGATTCGGTGTGGTCCGATCCAAATATCGATTCGTTCCAGTGTGATCCGATATGGACCAACCCATTGCCCACTCCTACCTGAAGCAACAATAATGTGAACATAAAATATTAGTTGATGGAGTCAATATAACAACAATTGAATAATTAATATTTTTAACTTGAATTCGGATTGAATATTTGTACAAAACAATCAGGATATCACGTTGAAACCTACTATTTTAAGGACTTAACAATAATGGCATAGCCAGGATTCGAGGTTAGTGGGGTCTCATTTACGAAAAAATCTTATAACATTGTATTCAATTATTAAGTAAATTTTCTTAAAAATATCCAGTCAAGTAGTTATTCATCAAACCATTAGTTATTATATTTGTACCTTATATTTTTTGTAACTCATAGTTGAAAAGTAACATTTCAAGATAAAATAAATAATTCTCAATCCAAAATCTAATACACACAAATGTTTTATAAAACACATTTGATGACACAGAAATTTTATATTAATAGGAAAAATTCATTGAACTACTAGCTTTTTAGATATAGCTGGAGGTTTTTGTACACATATTTAGTAGAATTAGAGATTTTTAGAATAAGGACTATAAAATTGGGGATATTCAATGATATAGAACCAAGATAGTCTAATTTATTTGTATGTTTCATAATACTAGACAATTAAATTTCATATAAATGGGGTCCTGAATTCTAAATCTACTCAAATTAAACAAGTATGTACATACATATAACCATTGTCCATGGCTAAAGCGACGTTGTCTGTTTGTGTAGTGGCATACCACTTAGCCAAACGGCGTTGTGGAGATATCTGTTGTGTACCAGGTTGAGTGAAAGGAAGCTCAGCCCATCTGCTTTGTTTCAACCTTCTGCAGAGTTCTTCACCTTCTTCCATGATCATCTCCTCTGTAGCAACTCATTGATCATCAATCCGATTCACCCCCCCCCCCTCCCGGGAAGCTGGCATGCATACATCATGAACTACAAGCTTGGCGAGAAGATATGTAAATCTGTCAACTGACAGACCCTTGCTGAAGATGTTTGCCAGTTGCTCATCAATTGGTACATGGTGTAGACTGATAAGTCATCCTTTTAGTCTTTCACGAACAACATGACATTCAATCTCAATATGTTTTGTTCATTCGTGAAAGACTGGATTTCAGCTATATGGATGGCACTGGCGGATCCAGGAGTTGACCATCCCGGGTCACGACCTAGCCCTCCTCTGGATTCAGAGCTAGTATAGCCCTTACGAGTTTATCAATTTTAGTCATTCGCCCAAGTATTATTTTATAATAAGATTATGTGTAATTGAGAAAATATGTTAGATGAACATAAACAAATAACAACTCTAAATTTAGCCTAGAAATTCTAGCTCCAATGATTATCTTCTAAAGAAAAACAAACCATGTAACCTAAAATTCTAAGAGTTTAAAACGTAAAAGACTAAAAGAACTGAGATTTGCTCCCTTGAAAATTTACTAGAGCAGCTGGTGGAAATATGGATGAACACACAATACAAATTGATTAGTCGATTGATTTGTCTAGTGTTGACATTGCTCGTTTCAACAACTACTATGGAGAAAACCTTTTCAACAATGGAACATGTGAAATATGATTTGCACAACAAAATGAGCGAATAATTTCTCGTTGATTGGTTAACTATTTTATTTGAAGGAGATAATTAGTATGTTATTGGTACGGATGTAGACTCCATTATTTATGATTTTGCTATGTTAAAAGATTGACGTATACAATTGAAATTGTATGATTTTTTGTACAATATCTAATTTTCTAATAAAATGCGACCCGGTGCATTACTATGTCAGGGATCCGTCGCTGATAAATGACAGATTTGTTATCATAAAATACATGAATTGGCAAAGGACGATCAATCCCATAGAATGATAACAGTGACTTGAGCCATTGAATCTCACGTGACAGTTGAGCCAAAGCCTTGTATTATGCTTATGAAGATGATCTATAAACTCTCTTTTGCTTTTTACTTTTCCTTGTAATCAAGGAAACTCCAAAGAAAATGCAATATTCAGTTATTGACAAAAATGGTGACATTGCAACTATTGTTTGACGAAAATGATTTATGTGCAACAAAAACACACTTAGTTAGTCACCATACAATAAAAGGTGAACTTAAATGACAATAGGTACAATTAACCCACCAATGTTTCGGGGGTTTTCCATGAACCCCGAAACACAACCTCAATCTTTCGCCGTCCCTCGCTGGACTTCTTTCCCCCAAAAAAATCCCTGGCTATCTCTTCTCCTGCCTGCCGCATTGGTCGAGAGGCAGTGCCAGTGTGCCACCACTGCGCTGCAGTAATTTGTGAATCTTCGTCGCCAGTTTCTCTCTGTTAGGTTTCCAATTGGGGTAAGGAAGGGGACAGAAAGGGAGATAGAGAGAGATGGGCAGTTTGGATCGAGTTGACGATCGGACATTTAGGGTTAATTTCTCAGAGGATGGTGTTGGAAAGTTGAGAGAACGAGTGAGGGAGAAACTCAAGGAGTTCATGGGGGATTACACGGACGACACTCTCGTGGTATGTACCTGGGGTAGTTTCAACTTCTGCAGAATTGGGAGGCTCGATTTATTTATTGTTTTATTGAATTCCTGTTACTCTTTTTTCGTATTGTTCCTCAATTCTTAGATGAACCTTTGCCCATGTTTTCCTGGAAGCTTTCGCTCTTCATTTTGGTGTGTAGAGAGATTAGGTTGCGAGTGAATTGGATTGTTATAGTAGAAAGCAACTGTGTTTTATGATTCATTAGGGTCCTTAAAGGTTCTTAGAGTCTAGTCTGCCCAGGGTTTGTTCGTCTTCTGCTGTCTATAGGACACTTGGTAGCTGTGATGACGGGGTTAGTGTACTGATTTCAACATCATTAGCAGGCACTATCCAAGATTGAACATTGCGGAGGGGAAACTTAACCACATTACTTCATATTGTAGATAGCAATCAAATGGAAAAAGGAGTGTTCAGAGCTTGAACTTTTTTACAGAGGCTTTAGAGTCTTTTTTGAGATAACACATAATGTACAAGAGAAGGCTTAGAGCCTTGTGCATGTGGGTTTTCTTGTCATCTGCTTACCATATGTATTGATTGTTGTCAGTGGTGTCAATGCCATGCTAATTCAGTGTGGTCGCTATAGTAAGATGTTCTTTTGCCTAATGGACACAGTTTGGACTTCTGCAAGGTTATATGCTTGATGTTCTTAGCTATATGTAGCTCTTTTTTCTTTGAAACTAAGATTTCCTGGTTTCTGACTTTTCATTTGCAGGAGTACGTAATCGTGTTATTGAGGAATGGCAGGCGCAAAGAAGAAGCAAAGAATGAATTGAATGTTTTTCTGGGGGATGACAGTGTTTCCTTTGTTTCTTGGTAACTGTTTCATGCTTTATGCTTATGTTGGAAACGTAATATCATATTCTTGGGATATTGATCCTTGATACTTGCTCCATGTGTTTTCTTGTTGTCTGGCAGGTTATGGGATCACCTGGCTTCAAGTGTAGAGTTGTATGTGAGTCATGGGCACACCGAAACAGATATAACGACCGATTCAAGGAGAGTTCTACGGACTAATATAGTTGGAGATGATTCTCATCATGTAGATTTTGAATCTAAGAAAGTAAACACTGAAAATATATCTCGGAGTCGGCATCGAAGAGAATGGAGAGACACAAAGCTTGGACCAACTGAACAGCCTTCTCTCCGTAGTTCTGAGGTTTTGGATGCAGTCATGGAGGATACAACTCATCATAAAGTCAATCATGAAAAGCAGTCAGCATCACCTCGAGCTTCCCAGAAGAAAAAAAGAAGTCGGCATGATGAGGGAGAAGCATCGAAGGTTAGGATTATATCCTCTTATGGTACACTTTATTTTGGATACGAAGAGAATATTGTGTCATATATGCTGCCACTCCAGTAATCCAATATATTACATAGTTAGTTTAGCGTCAGGTGTGTGCTTTGTATGTAATTAAGGGGAGGTATTGATGCAAATTTGTCAGTGTATTGTAAATCTTGATTCTTTCCTGGCTGGTATTCTCATGTTTTTGGTAAGCATTAGTAGGATTTTATCATTGGTTGAAGTAGGCTTGTCTCAGAAAGAATAATCGCCATGCCTTTATGTCAACGTGTATCCTTACTTTCGGTCATTATTTTCATGCAGAGGGAGAGGGAGACAGTTGCACTAGCAACTATTGATGCTCCTAGGAGACTACTCCAATTTGCAGTGCGGGATGCTTTGGGAACTCCAAAGGCATCTAGTTCAGTGAAAGAGCCCTCCCTCAAGCGTCTTCGCTCAGTTGTATCTACATCCACTGAGGAGCCAACACAGCCAGTTGATCGCCCTAGAAGGATGCTGTCTATTGCTAGAATTCCACGAGGTCCTATGGCTACCATAATCAAGGCTGTGCAAGAAGCTGCTGAAGATGTAACAAAAGTCAAAACCCCAAGAAGTGTGTTTGACCGTCTTGGCCGGGATTCAACTTCATTCGAGACCACTTTAGAATATAGGGATGTGGCTATGGATGAGGAAGAACTCGCATCTAACCTCCTTCGGGGAAATCATAGAGGTTTGACTTCCAACTTCATGTGTGAAAATGGAAACTATAGTGATGCCATGGGTGTGGACGATCGGGATATTGAAGTTCTGCCAACTGGAACATCTCATGTCAGCAATGATGTACACCAATTCAGGGTTCAGCACAATGCTGGTGATTTTGTCCCGAATAAAAGTCTACATCAATCTGTTCAGCATGCAAATGCTTCAGGGAAGCAACCTCATCCACATCAATTGCCGCTAGCTGGGCGATTAGAGAAGCCTTCCCGGGACAATGGGACACATACAGTGAAAGTTGGCGCTCAGATTATGAAGGAGAACAACAATCCTGTTGTGGTTGGTAATGGCGATGTATGAAACTCGTATTTTTGAGTTCTCAGACTTCCATCACGAATTATCTTCTCTCCTCTGGATATACTATTGTTTATTGATAATTTTCCGCTGATTTTGTAAATAGGGAAAACTTGCTACAGACCGTAAAGAACCTCAGCGAACATCGCCAACTACGCCTGGTATGCTCTAAACACAACTATTAGGGTTTTCTTGTTTTAGATTTTGCTGCATAAAAGATTTAGTGAAAGATTTTTCCATAAGATTTTTGGAAGGTGAGTTCGCTAGAATATGAGATGTTTTTAGTTTAAAATATTAGTTAATGGGATGTTTGATAGTTTAATTAATTATGAAGAAATGAGTAAGTTTTGGAAGTTGGGTATTATGGGCATAACTCTAAGAGTTGATTTTTATTTCAGATATGAAGTGGGAAATGATTCTCTTTTGTGACGCCGTCTTCAGCTTTTAATTTTTCACGGGTTTAGAGTGAATAGTATTTCTACAAAATCAAATTCTAGAACTCGTTTTTTGTAATGGTGAAAAACCACAGCCTTAATGGCCATTTACTGCTTGTGTTAATAAGCACTGGGTTTCTGGTCTTTCAGCATCTGTTTGTCGAAATTTTTTGTTTCTAATTTATGATGCTTGTTGATATTTGCAGTCTCACTTACAGCTGGTCGACCTCTAGAAGATGCCGAGTCTAGAACTATTTTCGTGAGCAATGTAACTACCTTTGCTCTATATGGCCTTTTTCAGGACTTTCTGCTGCTGCTTCATCCTTGCTGATAATTAACCTTTTTTTTATGGTCTGCAGGTTCATTTTGCTGCCACCAAGGACAGTCTTTCTCGGCATTTTAATAAGTTTGGTGAGGTGCTTAAGGTGGTCATCATAACTGATGCTGCAACAGGACAGCCAAAAGGGTAAGGTGTTCCGGAGTCTTTATTTCTTGATTCATATTTTTCCATAGAAAGGAATGTGTCCTAAACGAAGTCAGTACTGTCTGCAGATCGGCTTATGTAGAATTCACGAGGAAAGAAGCAGCAGAAAATGCTTTGTCACTCAATGGAACTTCTTTTATGTCGCGGATTCTCAAGGTTAGGCGAACGCTATTATTGGTGACGTCGTAGTTTGTTCTTCGTTGGTGATGTTTGTTATGATACTATAGTTTCCTGAATTCTCTGATTAGGGATGTAGCTCTAATCCCAAAATAATACCCTGATGGATGATATCATGGATCATGAATGTCGACGTCTCTATGCATCTCTTATCTGTATAGCATAGCTGTGAAGTCATTTGTGTCTGAATTATGTTCACAATTTTGTAGGTGGTAAAGAGAAGTGCTGCAACCCTAGAAGATTCTCCTCCCTTGATGGCTTGGCCACGCAGTGTCCCACAGGGCTCTCCTTTCGCTGTTGCCAGGTTTTCGAGATCCCCTTTTGCTAGAGGCATCCCCGGTGGGGGTGCATTCCGAGGTCGCCATAAGCCTGTTGCCCGGAGTATGCAGTGGAAGCGTGGGGCTGCTGATGCCAGCGCTAGCACGAGCAGCAGTGTTAATTCCCCTGGCCCCCGCAGTCTTACCTATGTCAGGACGGAGCCTAAACAGGAGGGAACATCAGCTTAAGAAGCAATTCCACAACTGCTTTCTTTTTTTGCTGCCAAACGAAGAGTTGCAACTATGTGAGACGAGGAGGTTCGTTTTCCTTGATTCGATTTGAGTTCTTGGAGAAATACCTGAACCAGACCGGAGTTGGTTGGAAGTTTTCAGTTGCTGATGAAGTGACTCCATAGTATGGTTTGCCGTGAATGTTTTGATTATTAGAGCGCATTAAGTAAGCTGGGTGCGGGAAAATTATGTGAATAGATTAGTCGTATAATTTATTTTCTGGTAGAACAGCTTTTCCTTTCTTGTTTTCTGATTTTCCTTTTCCCTCTTCTGTTGCTGTTTTTTTGGAGGAAAGAGAGAACGCAACCAAAAAAAAAAAAAAAAAAAAAAAAGAAGAGAAAAAGGCATGAAAAATGCCAAAAGAAAGAAAAGAAACATATATAAGACTTGAAAAAACATATTTGGGGGAGAAGATAACACTGTTGTCCCTTCGCCATTTCTTGTGTCTTGGTTATGTACTTATGTATGTTTTGCACAAGGGTTAGTGCTTTATGGTGAGTTTTGTAACGAGCCAATTCATAACATTTGTTGATCTATGTTATTTCGGATACGGGTCTATGTTATTCGTGAAGGTAACGTGTCATCTTTGATTCTTTGTGATATACAACTATTTCCATGATTCGAATGCAACAATCCTGAATTCCTCTATACAAGTTGAGCGCAAGAAACGTTCGAATTATAGTCGATGTGCACCGCACATCAATTCGGCTCAAGTTGGCGTGACTCAATCAAGGGCTATCTAAAGTGCAAAATGGAAGATCCCTACCAAGCTGCATTGCTACCATTAAACGCCCGCAACCTCGGGTACACAACGATTCCCATTCCGACACCCATCCCAACAGCACACAAGACGGTAGCTCCACGAGCCCTAACCAAGAACACGTTCAAGTTCTTCACCACCTGAAGCGCCAGCCGCCAGCGTGAGGATCTGAAGCCTCCCGAGCTCCTCCATCTTCTTAAAGAAGTAGATGGGCTTGAGCGACTGCCTCAACATGAAGGCCAGCGCGAAAGGGAACCCGAACGCCACCGCACTCTGGATCGAGACCTCCACGATCGGTGTCCCTCTGGTGATGTAGAAGATCCAGGACCCGATGCCCAGTTGGATCTGTTGGGAATGAATAGTTTTGACAGATATATCCAGTATTCTTTGTAGATAAAAAATAAAAAGGATAATTAATAAAAAGAATATTTTGGAGATAATTCGGTTAATTATCTCAATAGAGCGCGTTTTAATTATGAGAGTAATTATCTTTCTAATTAATGTGATTTATTTTCCACGAAACATGAAAAATTCTGGGTTTTCTACTCCTATAAATAGAGAACTACCTAGACCTTCTAAATACACCAATTCAGAGAGCAGAAATACGAGAGATAGTGCATTCAGAGAGCTCCGGTTTTCGCACAAAATGGTCGAGCGTCCTAGATGAGCTGTTTTATCTTGTAGGTGACCGCCGAGCGGTTGATAGTCTGCCGTACGCAACGAGGGCAGTGCCACGAACGTCTTAAAGAGAGCGATCTATTCCGTAACTCAACTCCAGATCGCTAACCCTAATTTTTCATGTTCGGCTTCTAACAATTTTAAAACGCTCAGTTGCTGCTAGCCTGATATGTATACCGAACAGATAGACCGATATGTCACCTAATGGTTGCAACTCGCCGTCACCTCCCTCGTATATGGAGAACCCCTGTTACTAGAATCGGGGACACCGGGTAATTGGAATACCTAATTCCCAGCGACGGAACGAGCTGAATGTACCCCGGAGGCTCCTCACGACGAGGATGGTTCAAGGTCCTGCATCCGGATCGTTTGTTGGTGGCACCAAGAAGCTGCTCGGATTTATATACACACGAAAGCAGGGAAATATTCGGAGCATCCCAATTCCCACATGACTAATTGGAAGGGAATTATTCCCTGGGACGAAGAACAAAGTTGAAGAGGGAACAACAAGGGATTGGTCACGTCCAATTAAAGCCTTCCCCGGTCCACCTATGACAAGAACTATATATCTTGACTCTTTAAAAGCGGACCAGACAAGATCAGAAGCGAGTCAAGACAATTTTCAGTTCTAAGTGTGGTAGTAGATCCATTAACTAGAGAAGTTTTTTTTTGCCTTTATCATAGACCAATCGATACTAATAACAAAAGTAGTTGGCTGATATTCATGTATTAATCTTATGTATAATTTTTTAATGCGTTTTATTGTGAAACAATTTTTTCACCTCACTATTCACACGAACTTTATTAATTAGTCACGCGAATTCATCAATATTCACGTAGATACAATTGATTTTTCATGCAATTTCGATCTATAAACTAATATATTCACATAATATTATAAATTCAATTGACCAATCATTTAATGTCATTAATCACTTATTAATTCATGATTTTTTTAACCAAGATAAGCCCCCAAGACATGGCCAACAATAAATTTACAAAACATAATAACAAATAATGGTATTCCATATGCAATCGGACTCCCAATGAAAGAATCTATTATGGCGTAAGAGGGCAGTTCTGTGAAAGTTCCAAATAGTGAAAAGACACGAAACTTACACGTAAAACAAGAAGAGAGAAGGAACTTCCTTGTAAGTCACTTCGACTCTAGGAAGAAAAGGTTTTCTCGATATATGATCCTTGATGACCAGTTGAGGATTCAAATATATTGATGGGAAAATTTTGAATATTTTAACTAACTTTTTTTTTGTCTCATTGCCCGACACGAGCTATGTAGTTGTTTACAGCTAAAAATTAATCATATACCGCATTGATTATTTACAAGACATTTATTATCTTTATAAGGCCAAATCATTAATGACAATTAATGTTATTTGAACTGGGTCTCATGATACTAGTTTTAAGCTCAAACACTAAGTCTTCGGGAAGGAGCTAGTCTCGTTGCGAGCTGAAGAGCCCGACGTGGTCGCGAGATCTAGACCACGTTGGCGTCAAATCTAGAGCCCGATGTGGTCGCGAGATCTAGACCGCGTTGGCGTCAAATCTAGAGCCCGACGTGGTCATGAGATCTAGACCATGTTGACGTCAAGTCTAATAGCCCGACGTGGTCGCGAGATCTAAACCACGTTGGCATCAAGCTGGGCAGGCCTCGTCCCGAGATCTAGATCCCATGTCGGCTGCGAGATGTAGAAGACCATCGTCTTGAGATCTGGAATGGCCATGGTAAAAGGGACTCAAGTAATAAGATATCAGTTCCAAGAGAAATGGCAAGCGGTTAACATAGCTACTACCAATTATCCCATGTACAATGACACGTCAGCCACGTCTGAGGAAGAAGGGAGCAGTTCTTTTTGTAAGTTACTCTTAGACATTTTTTCTACGATGGTTATCATCTCAAGCCTATAGATAGGAGGAGAAGTTGACAGAGGAGAGAGTCACCAAAATCACCACTCAACACCACTTGTCAAGTTTTATCAAGTTTATCTTTCCTCTGCAATTTTTATCAGTAGCTCTCAGAACCTCCATAGGAGTAGGAGGACCTTAATCTAGATCTGTCTCGTGAGTCGTGTAAACATCGAACACCCTCGTTCGAACTTTGTTTGAAGAGGTGTGGACCATGTTAATTTAATCGTTATCCAAAAAAATCAAGGTGCATTCAATTCGTTTCAACGCAAGTTTTCTCGCCTGGAAAACAGTAGTTCAATAAGATCAAAAGAAAAGAAATTCAAGCACCACATTGTTATTGTCATCAACCCCAAACAGAAGGCAGTTTTCATTAATCAAATGTGCGTTCATAACAATGCATGAACAATTAGCTCTTCCGTTAATCTTTCTCTTCCATCGGGGTTGAGAATTTATTGCAAGTAGAAGGCAACGAAGGACACGACGGAGGCACCGACCAAAGACCCAAGAGCCGGCAAGACACCAGCGGCCCCGCTTGTGGGTGCACCAGCAGCGGCGGTGGGTCCGGCGGCAGCGGCGGGGCCAAAAGCGGCGACGCCGGGGGCAGGGGCGGCGGCGGCGTCCTGAGCCAACGCTGCGCTCATTGAGGCGGCAGCGAACACGACGGCGGCGCAAGCAACCTTCTTCATTTCCATTATGATGATGATAAGAAGATAGTTGGATTGAAGGAGAGCAAAAAGAGATGTTAATGAAGAAGAAGAATTGTGTTCTTTCCTCTTCGTATAATCTCTCTAAATTACTCTCTTTATTGTCTTTGTGTTTTTGCCGTGAGGATAAGCTGTGGGATAGGTGACCTTTTATAATGATGATTAGAACTTAGACGTTCTAATAATATTTGTCCTTCTTTTTGGAAAAAAATTAATTAACGGGGAAGGCTAATAATTGTTAATTACTCCACTAATTTAGGGTAACATGGAGGCTTTTGGGTGGTGGGAATGATATGAAATAAGGAGGGAATAATTATGATTAGAACGAGTCTTGTGGTGGTGGAATGTAGGTTGTAAAGTTTAGAGTTTTGGTTAAGGAAATTTTCTAATTATGCAATAATAACATTTTTAATGGAGATAAGCTACACAACTAATTAAGGTGGGGAAATTAAGATGATTAGTTGCGGATGAATCATATGTAATGTTAAGATAATTATAGGGAGTGACATATTTGGGATTTCATGAAAATGCGTCCTATTTAGATAATCACTGACAATTATGTATACCCATATACTGAAAAGTAGGGGTGGGCATTGGGTGGGTCGGGTGGATTTTGACCATAAAATGCACCCACCTGTGCTTAAACGGATTGATAATTTTTAACCCACCACCCACCCACATTTAGTCTCGGGTTGGATCGGGCGGATGGTGGATGATGCGGGTGGGTTTGTGGGTCATCCACATCACTATGTATATAATATAAAGGAGTCAACTTGACATGATAATAGGTGAAGAGAATCATCGAGGGAAACAAGAAGTTGAAATAGGGCGAAAAATGTCGAATTAATTCTTAAATTGGATAGAAATTCTATTTTGAAAGAGTTTTCTACAGACTGAGACGATTATTAAGTGCAAGAAACTAAGGAAAATAATTCCATAAAGGAAAGAGTGGTGATCTAGGCACAAGAATTAGAGGAAAAAGTAAAGGGAAGAATAGGGAATCTCTATGGAAGGTTGGCTTTGAGGTTCAAACTCCAGGAGCAATCCGAGTTTATATCTAATGTCTCCACTCTCCTCTCTCTAGCGCCAACGACTTTGATCTTTTTGCTGTTGGGTTGAGCAGGTCACCCGCACACTCACCCACAACCCACCCACCACCCGACGGATGGCTCCCAGCGCAACCCGTCACCCACCCACAGACCCACCCACTTAACAAAATTCGGGTCAAATGCGGGTGGGTCGACCCAAACCCGCGGATGATCCGCCCGCATGCCCAGCCCTACTGAAAAGTTTGTAAAGTATACATTTACGATTCAAACTATTAAAGATGTTATTTTCAGTATATGCTATGAAAAGAATATCCTAATTTCACTGTTCCTTTATCCTTGTACTCTAATTAATCATAGTGATACTTCTTGGTTTGTACGTGTCGGTGTTACCTCAATTAATTATGCCTTCCCTAAGAAGGCATATATATGATTAGCATGCGTGTGGGTAATTAGCATAAATGTTTAGCATGCACGTGAG